GCGTTTCAGAATACTGCTGGACTAAGTGTGAGCACCTTCTTGGAACTATTAGGTGTATATTTGACTTCCACTGTAGTAGACTTTCAAGATCAACAATATGTGCAAAAGAGTGGAGTGTGTATTGGATCTCGGGTAGCGCCGCAATTGTGTGACTTATTCCTGGGGGCATGCGGAAAGATCATCGCAAGTAATCTGACAGATACAAGGGTCACAGCCATCTTCCGATATGTGGACGATTTTTTAGTACTTTGTGCCACAGAAGGTGACGACCAGAGTGAAGAATGCAAGGATACTATTCTGCAAGTGTTTCAAGAAAGTTGCCCCGAATTGGTGTTCACACATGAATCACCTGTGGACAAAAATATCAAATTCCTAGACCTCGCGCTAATTTTCCAACAAGGGCACGTTTGCTGGAGGTACGAACCCCGGTCAGCAAAAGGGTTTCTGCCGTTTACCTCTGGCCACTCAAGAACTATTAAGAGAGGTATCGCCAGCACGGCGTTAGTTTCTGCCTTAAACAAATCATGTAAACACCAGATAGGGCAGAGCTTTGAAAAACAGATGTCACGATTACGGAATTCGGGATACCCAACAAGTATCTTGGTACCCGTTTGTGAGACCATCTGCAGAAACTTGAAGAGTGCAAAGTCGGGCAAAAAAGTAAACGAGAAAACCCGAAGGAAGATCGCTGTGCTACCATACGTTCACGGGATTACGCACAAATTGAAAAAGATCGCCGCGAGGAATGAGATCCAAGTAGTATGCTCCGCGCCTAACAAAGCGTACTCCATGTGCAGACGAGTTAACAACAAAACAGGCAAAGAAAAAACGTGCGACATTGCCCACAGAACACAATATGTACCATGCATGACAGGAGTGGTTTACAACATTCCCCTTTCATGCGGGAAGTGCTACATCGGCCAGACGGGCCGATGCATTAACGACAGAGCCCGCGAGCACGCAGCATCCCTTAAAGGAACGTCGGCAGGGCATCTTGCAGCTCATTGCAGGACTTGCCACTGCAGTGCAGCGTTCAAGGACATAACCATCCTAGCCAGTAATAACAATACTCATGCGCGCGAGATGCTCGAGGCGCTTGCTATCGAAGAACAAGCGAGTGGGTGCGTCAGCACCCCGTCCATCACTATTCACAAAAAGGAGAGACAATATCTACGGTGCGTCACGGTCCAGAAAATGGCAGTATGAGCTTGTGGCGGGTGAATTTAAAATATTAGTTTAGGTTTAGGTAATGTGAAAATTTTGTAAACATACACATGCATTATTATATTAGTATAATAGGTTTTAATATGTAATAATTTTTGTTGGTGTCTGAAAACACGCAAGGAAAAAGAAGTTCCCACTAAATAATCGTTGGTAGTCAGCTGTCTATTCTCTCCTGTCTCAATTTCTCTATATCTTCCCCTGGTTCAAGCTGTCAAATATATACAAGTATGTACCAACAAGCTCCACTATCAACCGTTGATGAACACTGTCAACGAAAAGGGACTCTCGTCGATTCTATCTTCGTTTTGTATGATATAGAGCTTGAATAAACGCCGTATGGATTACCTTCGTAACACGGTATGTACACATTGTTATTAGTATGCCATTTTTATTCTGACACGACTGCACATCACTGTCAGGCTATAACAGTTCGTGGGAGCTACGTGCAATGCCGGTTCAACCTTCCTTTGCCGAGTGTCACGTCAGTATCGAGTTGCAATCATAGAAGACTGGTCCCGAAGCGCTTACCAACAGCACGAATACAGCACTTCCATCAAACGCGCGCATCCGCTCCAAGTTTGAACAGGTATTTAAGTGGCTCTTGCGTCGGCTCGCTCCTGTATCTCCGAGGCCGCGAAAAACACCGCGGCAATTTGTTTCCATCTACATCGCTTTGCCAACGACTGACACGGACCGCCTTTTACCAACAATGACAGTTGGGTTGACTTCTGGAGTCTTCACTCGCCGCACTTCCCAACAGGCATACCGGCGTATGAGACTAGTCCCATGCTGTCGCTGTAGCGCAACATGTCTCATTGAATTTCGCTCAGCTGCGATGTGTCCATGGCTATCGCGGCAATGAAAGGCGCCGATTCAGAATACGTCGGTGACATCAGCGCAGTAAAACCTACCGGTGCACCCCCAACTCGCCGCCGCTAACGCTCCCATTCTCCTACTGCCGAGAGAACTTCCGGTTCCTGTGCCAGGGTACGTCACGATCATCAAAACTACGCCGCAACTTGTTTTGCGGTCAGTTGGAGGGAAAGAAAAAGTCGATATTTCATTAATTTTTTTGTCTAGAAGTTAATGAACAGAGACGAAAACGGATGCCTGTTCGGCATTCAGTGAGCGTTGAAGGTTTAATGTAAAAGTTATTTGACAAAAGTAAAAAGGTAATATCATGGTCCCTTTAAATGTCCTTTTGGTGTCTTTTTGAGCAAAATATGGGTGTCTCTGTGGTGTCGCCAGGAAGTGGTTGACACTTAGACAATAGAATTTCGCTGCAGTACCCTTTTAATGCTACATGCTATGTTGCATCATGCATCGTAGAATGTACCAACGTCACTAAATGAGCTCAGTTCTGGAACTCCCATGCAGTTTCCCTCTCCCCCCAGTCTGCCTCCCGTCGTTTGAAGCTCCATCTAAATTTTCATTTCAAAACTGTGTGTTCCCTAGAGTACAGGAAAACGCCATCCAAATTCTGTGCCTTGGAACATATGCAATCCATGGAATACACTGCAGTTACCATAACAGCCATTCTCAAAACGGTGGCGCGTCAAGCAACAGGAAGCGGGCTGTGAGGGGAGGGGAGGGTAGGGAAGGGGGGGGGTTATGCTTGTGGGAGCCTGTGGGCTGTTCCGTAACTGGGCTAATCTAGTAATGGCATGTATGATGTATGTGATGCAACGGTATGATGGTTAGGATGTATAGATATATAAATAGAACCAATTGGATGAATAAATGTACAGATACGGCTAAACCACGGAAGCAGGTGGCGGCTTGCGCCACCTGGCAATGGAATAGCCAAGGTTGTCAATCGAGCATTCCCTTTTTGCTAAATCTAGCGTCACCATGATCTTTGGTGTAGTGCGGAGCAATTTTAATTGATTTCACACTTTTGGCGCCACTAGACGCAGGAAATTGTGAATGTATAAAAATGGCAAAATTGGCAAAGCTGTCTGACCCCTGCCATATTCATCTTCCGTATACAGGGAAATACCGTATTTACTTGAGTAATAGCCGCACTGTTTATGAAGGAAGCCTGAGGGTTTGCTTTTCTGCGGAGCACGCAGACTGTCAATCACCGCGTTCGACAGCATGATTCCAGCTGTTTACAGGACAGAGATAACATCTTTGTGTCAAGATACCATCTTTGAAGAGTGAATTTGTATGGAGAATCGTATTCTCAATCTGGTTATTCACTGTTATTTATGTGCAATGCAATGATTGGTTGTATGTATGTTCTATGGTAAAGTAGACGCAAGGGCCTTGTTCATAAATAGTGCGGTTATTACTTGAGTAAATACGGTACAGTCATTTTCTTGGTTAGCATGCTTTATAGTTGAAGTAAGCAGCTCACACCCCGTATACCCTGTATACGCCAGCGGTGTGTGTGTGTGCGTTCCTTGTGACTTTCTCTGTCTTGCATATTTCTTCCTTCGTTCAGCTGGCGTATCCTACAAGCTTACACCCTCAAACATTTACTCAGAGATAGCAAGGCTTGACTTGAGTCAAGGTCAAGCATTCCTAACCCACGGTTTTATGGGCTCCGAAGTATTCCAAACTCAATCTCTAGGCTAAAATATCCAAAAGATACAAGTACCAATAAAAAAATCAGCGTTGTGCAAATATTTGAAATTTCAAATAGTAGCTTCAAATAATACACTATACGATATTCACTTTGTAACAAAATGCGATATTTTTTTTTTTTTTTTTTTTAAGGGTTGGTCGCACTTCTTATTGAGCACGGGTGCACTGCGGAGAAGCAACGCCTGCAAAACTGAGCTCCGCAGGTGTTGCATCTCTGCAGTGCATCGGTGCTCGGCAAGAAGCGCACTCAAGAAAGTAACCTGCCGCAATCAACACTTGGAAAAATAGGAATATTGCAATGGCGTGCTTGGGAGAAAAGCATATTTTCAAAGTGGGATGGTGCATGCACCTGCCTGGTGTATTAAAAAAAAAAAAAAAGGAAACTTTGTGAATGGGGATATATCTACAGTGCAGTAAAATTTTGAAAATTAAACTGTGGCTTTTAAGCAGGAGTAGTTAGGCAGAGATGCCTTGACAACCTGCATTCATCATTTGTAATTCCTTTTCTCATTTTCAAATTCGAGATTAAAGAAAGAATATTTGCATATAGCAAGATTTGTAAACCCACTCAAGTAGCTATAGCTGGGCATGTCTCTAGGTTTCATTTTATGGCAAATCCGTGATTTACTTGCCATCCCAAGGTATCGGACTTTCTGAGGTCACATTATGTAAATATACGTTAGATTAAAATCAGCTTATAGATGGACAAATGGAAGCTTGGGAACAACCTTCATGAGCTTAACTGGGTTTTCGGTTAAGCATGGTGTAACAATAGCAAAATGCTTGAAAAAGCTATTTGATATTCAATTCAAATATATTCGGGCAAAACCACTATCAGTTTCAAATTCACTTTGAGCTCAAAATCCACTAATCGCACATGACTAAAAAAAAAAAAATATTGCAGCTTTTTTTTGTTTTTTTAACTCAACTTTATATCACAAAGGCAGTCATATAAAGTTGAGTTGCACATTACCGAGATTCCCATTCTGTCTTCTCCCAGCAGAACACTGGTCGACAGTAAGAAGCCTCGTTGGTAGTTACCCGGGAAATTTCCTTCTCCAATAGCATGTGGCGCTTCACAAAATAAAAAAAATAAAATAAAGAAACGAAACAGACAGCTTTATTTCTGCATTTGCAGCCCGGACGCTTACCGGAGGGAGCGACAAGGAAGGGGAAGCCCCACTCACCTCGGTGCAGAGCTCCTCTATCCTCCGCTGCCGGTAGAGGACACACAGCAGCTGCTCGAGGAACTCCTGGCCCTCGAGGGCCCCCTCCACCCTCTCGAGGTCCAGGTGGTCCTCTTCCGACCTCCCCTCGGCGCTCCCCCTGCGCGCCACCCGCGCCAGCTGCTCTCGGCACAGGGCCTCCACGACGCTGTCCTGCTCCCAGAAGCGCAGGCACTCCAGGTGGTTCAGCAGGTTTCCCTCAGAGCACACCGCTGCAAACCACGTTCGCCGGGGCGTTGGTTCGGACAAAGCAACTGGGCACCGCGCGTCTTTTAGCAGATAACTCCCCGGGAACAAAGCCCAGTCTTCGGCACTTTCCAGCAACACTAGGAACAATGTCACTATACTCAATGAAAAGGGGAGAATGGAAGGGCGTCTGTTTCTTCATTGCCTTCCGACGCGCTTTGGCTGCGTTATCGAAGATGGGAAGCTCGCACTGGAAGCTGAAATTCCTCTTTGCTGCGCTTATCCTGTCAGTGACCATAGATAACTTGGTTGTGGAGCTCCCATGCAAAAGTGAGCACCGCCTCTCCCCCCAAAGGCCACCACCAGCCGTTCAAAGTGCCGCCCAAAGGTCGTGATTAAAAACTGATATTATGGGAAAAGCTACGGTAAAGCACCACCTAGACACCAAACTTCAAAACCTGCGTGTTCCATGGAGTACACAGTAGTAGTTACTGTAAGCCGTCCACGAAATCATGACGCTTAAAACAACGAGAGGCAAACCTCTGGGGAAGGGCACTGCACGTGAAATCACAGTTCGCACCTAGCGAACTGTGCGGGTACAGACCCCGCGACACAAGAGGAGTGCCGGAGCGAGGCACATGACGCCATGTTGGCGGCTCAATATTTTTAAAGCGAAAGCATTAACTGTCCCATGGAGCGAGCTATGTCATCAGCCCCGCCGAACGACAGATAAATTCCCGAAGCCGCAATCTCAGGCATCCCAGCTTCGAAAAACGCAAAAAGCCAAAAAGCTGAGGCATAGGCTTCCATTGGCTCTCGTGCGGCGGTGCAAGCCGAGGCGAGGCGTCTCACGTCGGACACCCGCCAGGCGGCTACGACTGCCCGAGAGGCTTTCCCCTCCTCCTGTCTAGCAAATTATTATTTTGAAATTCCCCGACCTTTCCAGGTTTTCTCTGACAATTTCAGGTGAAATTCCATGACCACCGTAGAGGCGGTTAAATATATGCGACCATTACAACACAATATATTGAGCATTGAGCACTTTGAGGATTATTTTGCACGGGCTTAATCCAACTTGCATATTCTGAAATAATCGGTTTTGTCCAGTCCGGATTAAACGAGCAATTTCTTGCCGCCGACATCGTCGGTGAAGAGGCCTCTTCCGGAAACACGATGAAAACACGACGCTCAACCACACACGTCAATAACCGAATGGCAGCGTGGCCGCCAGATGTACACTTTTGGATAGTTTCGGTTTAAGGCTTGGATCGGATTGGGGTCTGCAGCTTTCCCATCTGCTACTAAATCTAGTAGCTCTAACTGGATCTAGCCTAGTGTCGCACCCTCGATCCGATCCAAGGCTTGGACTGGATTTGTCGGCAGTTCCTTTTGCATTGGGTAGCACATTCTACATCGGGTAAGTAGAACCCGCGCTCAGCTCTAAGCAGAATTTATTGCCTATTTTACTGCCCCCCAAGTCCTCAAGTCTATGCTCAGGGCATTCAGTGGCATTTCCGGTTCATTTTCCCTGACTGGGCTCGCTTTGTGACAGTATCCCTGACAATTCCCAGTTTTCCCGGTCGCTAGACACCCTGACTGGGTGCACCCGCTCCGCCCGCCGACAATGGAGTCTCGAAGCACCTGGCACCCCCCTTCCCCCCTACGAAAAGGAAGCAGACGGCACACGATGAAGAGGAGCGGAAGAACAACATTCATGCTTCCACATTCACAACTCATAAAAAGTGCTTTAAGTGTCCTCAGACTTCTTTTTTTTACTGTGGTTACTATGAGTGTATAGAAAGCAGCTTTTTGCGTAAAAACGGAAAAAGCTTTTTCGTAGGATCTTTTATTAGAGATTAGTACAGAATGATCGGAGTTTGATGCTTTCACAAAATTTTAGTTTACAAGGTTTTTTGGCACAATTAATATTGGTTTTAAACAACCATGTCTCAGCAGTGATTTTAGGACCTGGGCACGCTCTAACTTCAGTGGTAATTTGCGGCGCGTCCGCATGGGGGACGGGAGTTGGCATCCCTGAAGCCCCTTCCACCGTTATATGTATCGGCACCAAAATGGTCGATCAAAGCTAAAATTGAACAGTCACAGCGGATGCTATTGAATGCGATACTCTGGAAACATTCAGTGACTCCAGGCGAAGGCACTCAAACAACTGCACTACCCTCCTTCTCTTTTGCTCTCTTCAGTGTCACCATGTACAGGACTTCACGTGCAAACTTTTGGGATTTTTTTGCAGGTCTATTTTGCATTTTGCTCATGCTTACGCCCCACCTTTGGACAGAAGAATGCAGGCTTCAGGGTCCGTGGCATCGAGCAGCCTCTTCAGCAGCGAGCCCTTGCCGGGCGAAGTCGTGGCCGTCAGCAGGACGTCGCACACGGACGAGAAGGGGATCACCATTGGCCCCAGGACGCTACAGCAGCTGGTGATGGCATCGAGCAGCTCCTCCTTCAGGACCTCGGGGATGTCGGCAGAGGACGCGCTGACGAACTTGAACGTCTCCCTGCACGTCCATGTGCAAACAAAGCCTTAGAATTTGGTGGGGGGCACCCTTTTCCCCGATTGGTCCAATTCGGACAAACCTTGAGAATGTCCGACCAAAAAAACTGTTCTTGCTTTGGCTGCCGAGAACAAAGGGAAAACTCGGGAAACAAACCGAGGAAACAGATTCGCCAACAATTTTAAACTGTCCCGCGGGTAGTCAACCTTAAATGAGATCCACTAAAAGGCTCCAATGAATGTACAGTGTGCTTAAGTATAGCACATACTGTTAAAAAGAAAAGAGGAGGATCGTGCACATACTTTCCCACAAAGCAAACACGGTTCAATCACTGCAATCAATGGAGGAAGTTAAATAGCAGTGTCCACAAACATTTTGGGACAGAACAGCAGAATTTTTGCAAATTCCCAAGTGTTAACACATTTATTAAGGAGGTAAGAATTTGTTCTAGTTTCGAGGGCATATTTCACTGATTATTTTAAAAGTATAAAATTGTTTTATATGCAAAATTTATGTTACAGTAAAACCTCGTTATAACAAAATGGGATATAACAAACTAATGGATATAACAAAGCAATCATAATTCCCCTTGCATGCTAATAGGGAAGAAATGGACATTGGCTATAACAAACTAATGGTTATAACGAAATAATTACGATCGCTACTTCAACTTTGTTATAACGAGGTTTTACTGTATGTTCGTTGGATTGATGGAATGTGCATAATTTACATTAATATTACAAGTGTTCTGTTTGTGTTGCCTTTGTATGAAAAAAATGTACTCGTCTGTGTTTCGTCCTCTCTCTTTTTTATACTTTCTGTTATCTAGTACATCTTACCAACACGCTCGTTAGAAACAGAAAAGCTCTTACTCGTTTGATTTCGTCATTATAATCTGCCACGGACATTTAAATTAAAGGAGCTGTGCAACGATTTTAACGTTGAAAGAATTGGCACCTTCTACTTTTGACATTGTTAACCTTGTCACAAAGGACGGAAAACACACCCCCTTCCTTCAAAATGTTGCGATTCCGCCGCGTAATCGCAAGGCAAAAATTAGAATATTCCTCGACCTGCAGCAACGAGCGGCGGCCATGAGAAACATGCAGCATGACGTCAATGGGGGTCTTATAGAAAGATATCAAGTTGTGTGAATACCTGCTCAGTAAAAGGTAACTTTTCTATAAATCTTGTCGTTCCAACATAAATATAAATGCATCAAAAACCTGGTATCATCGACAAAACTTTTATTATATGGAGTTTTAATGGCGCCATCTATCCTAGGTCCACAAAACCGTCAGCTCTAACTGCTACCGCGAACAGCGGAACAGCCGCCAGAAGCCGGAGGGGGAGGGGTGCAGAGCCGGACGGGTATGGCCGGACCCGGATGAGACTTTCCTCCTTTCACCAAATTGTTTGCGCTGCTCCCACCAGCACGTGGTCACGTGGTCACGCGGTCGCAAGCGGATGAGTTCTCGCTGCTTACTGATGGGCTCTAGAGAGAGAGCTTCACCGGAACCCCGCGTCACCCCCATTGACGTCACAGCACACGTGACTTGGAGGATGGCATACCTGCCAACCTGTGGACTGTCAAATTCGTAAAAGTTTCGCAGCCACGCCGGGGGGGGGGGTTACGCGAAGCGATGTGCAGCTTAATGTCAGCCTGGCCAGCGTGCGAAAAGCTTACATCACACGTGCACGTGCCACAGAATCCAAACTTCTCTCGCTTTTTGGGCAGCCCGAAGCACGGAAATTTCGACGTGTAGGACTTCAGGAACACAAGAAAGTACCTCTTTCGAGGTTTGGAGTTCGGCATTGCGCCGCGAAGCCACAGTGACCAGGAGAATGATAACACGTGCAACAAACACAGACGCCATACTTCTCGCCTCAAAACTGGCCGAAGCAGCGAGGCCCAACAAAGTCTGAACACGCCGAACCAACGTGCACCCGTGCACCGCCAAACACACGAACAAAGGCTTTGAGCTTTGGATTGGTTTTCGATCCATGGCCACCGAATAGACGGATAGTAAAAACCACGACGCTGCTGTGGACGGTACCTATCGTCCTCTTGTGGCGGTGCAAGATACCGCCAACAACAAAAAAAAAAAAAAAAAAGTAAAAAAAAATTTAAAAATATATTTTTCGTAAGATTTGAAGCAAGATTCGCAAAATCGTAAACTTAGTCCCAATTCGTACATTTTACGAAAAATTCGGAAGAGTTGGCAGGTATGAGATGGTGAAGGAGTTGAGGGGTGCCGAAAACCTCAATCTTTATCCATTTTTAAAATAAAAACTAGGACCTGTAGGCAAAAGCGGTTTTTTGTTCTTTACTTCAGAAAGGTCGAGACACAAACTCCCAAATTATTTAAGCAAAGCACTGAAACTGTTGCACAGCTCCGTTAAGGCTTCCAAAGCAGGTTTCGAAGTGCATCTGGGATGCACCCTTCATGCACTCAATGTCAAATATTCACAGCTTGGCACTGAGTGCAAGATCGACAATTAAGTGTATTCCCCCATACCACACAGAGTTTTCAGCACACTATGCCCATTCCCAAAACAAACTGTGTTTTAAGATACAACGACCCCAACTTTGCACACCTCTGGTGTTATACGTTATGAGACAGATCAACTGCTCGCGCAAGAATACCATCTGCGCTGCGACACGCTGCTTCATTTGCTCAGAATTCAGCACAGATGGCCTTTAGTGGACTGCAACGACTGGCTCTCCTGTGCCCTATGAGAAGAAGGGTGCACAAACCTCCCTTCTAACAGTATGTGCTATGCCTGAACAGATTCCACAGTTCAGGGCATTCCTTCTACAGCATGTAAACTAAAGCTTCCGAGGCACTTTAGACGGCCCGGAAAAATCAGTCTCTCAACGTATTGCGCTGCAATTTACTACTATGAAGATGAAAGCAGGTGGTCGAAGTTTACAATGAAAAAATCAAGGAATAAACTTACTTTGTTCGAAAGAAAAAAAAAAAAAATCTGTTCTGGGCAATCTGTGTTGCGCCGCCATTTTGCAGACGATACACGTGCAGAGAGAAGTGCTGCCGACAGATGGCGTACGCCGAATTGAGGTAGCGTCAGCTGATTCGGGTTGATAGCAGAGAATCTCTCAAAAGGACCTGAATTGGTTGGCGCTCCCTCGATGCAATGTTAATTGCCCAACACACGTTTTTTATTTTTTTTAAACGAGGCAAGTTAATTTTTTTATTTGTTCACTATAAACTCCCACCACCTGCTTGCATCTCTGTAGTAAATTGCTGCACGATACATAGAAAAACAGACTTCTGCAGGTCGTCTAAAGTGCCTTAGAAGCGTTAGTTTACGTGCTGCACAGTCGCTGACAGTATAACAAACACAGAATATGGCCTATTAAGTTGATGCTTGTTTCTTCGCGATTCATTGTTTGGCACTCCCAGTGGCAACTGACGCAATCTCACTGGCTGTGGAGCGATAACAACATGCTCGGGCCTTGACAGCCCAAAATTTCATAGGGTATCAGTGATTACTGCGCAGACAACCAATGTTATTACAGACTGTTGCACGGCACCGGTAATGTTCGAAGAGCCGAACGAAGCGGGTCGAAGACTCGACAAAGGGATGGGCAGAAAGCACTTACAGCGAGAGGACCCGAGCGGCGTCCTCATAGGGCAGAGCGCGATACCAGGACGTCAGGGTGGCCCAGCAAGAGACGAGAGACATTACGCGCTCCCCGGCGTCCCGGCCCGATTCGTTGTCGGAGTCGCCCAGGAAACGCAGGAACTCCTGCTGTGCAATCGAGGGCCTCCTGTCCCCCAATCGTCTCCACAGCCGCTGCGAGAAAAGGGAATGAGGTTCAATCAAACAGCTTCCACGCTACTTATATGCTCATCACCGAGGCCCGCGCACCTATTCTCTTGCGGAGAGTGTATCCACCTAAACGGTACCAGAGCCACTAAGTAGGCTATGCTTAAGAGTAGCGGCACTCTTTTTCCCAATTTTCTTATGGGCCCGCCATCTTGTTGCTTAGTGGCGCCCACAATGCGCACAATGGGCGATTGCTGCAATTGGATAATGCGACTTTCTGAGGTTGAGATGAGGTATCGGGGAGTTCAGGCGATATCGTTTTGCTCTGTCGCAGACTGTTTCAACATTTCTGGAGAAGGAAAAAGCGTTCCCTGCTGTTTCAGATAAAGCTTCAGATAACTGGCAACCATAATTTTAACCATCAATGGTAATGGGCGCAAGTTACCGCCTGTTATAAAAGATACAGCCATTATTATTAGAGTCCTGCGCGGACAACAGTTTGATTATCCGCATCCGATCTGCATCCGCAGACTATATCCGCATCCACAAACTTTTCACATTGTTGTATCCGTATCCGTATCCGAACTGCATCCGGAAAATGTGGAACCAGCTCCAACACACAATCCAGACATTCATTGTATATCATAATATCAAGCATTAATGAAAAAAAATACAAATACAAATAGCACTTTTTAAGCTTTTTGCTTATCTTTGTACAAAGAAATCTTCGGGTCACCATTCAAAGGGGATGTCATTTTATCATTATCAGTTAAATCATATTTATATGAAAAGCGATCAGCCTTCCCGAGACACCGCGCATCGAAGAAAAAATGATCTCAGTTATGTGATCGTACAAGGAGCCTGCGACACTCTGCCCCCAAAAAATGCATAAAACTTTTTTTTTTTTTTTTTGCTTTGTAACACTTATTTTTTGGGGACACAAACTTTTGAAACATAAAAGTTAAAAAAGTGCATACTAAATTATGACATTTTAGTTACACCAGACAATTAAAAAGTAAGACAGGTTCATATTTGTCCGGCTTTGACGCCCTGGCGTCGTAGTTGGACGAATATGAACTACCAGACTTCTTGGCTAGGACTCAAAGCATACAAGAAAGAAACACGCAGGCAGTTTACGGGCTGCCTATGTGAGTGCGCTGTCGATTTTGAAATTTTACAAACCGTGGAGCTTTTGTTTTTGGAAGCATGACCACACTCTTCTTTGCAGAGAGGGGGACGTTTCTTCTACTTTCTTGTGACTTGTACGTTTGAGGTTTTCTTTGCCCGGAGAAAGTTTCCACTCTTTCCCTGCCAATGCACTAGCTTTCTCGGGACAATTGATGCCCTGCAATCTTTACTTTTTCTGTAGATAGCATTTTTGACGAGAGGAAACACATTAACTGAAGCAATCTTCACTGAGAATCAGATCTTTCTTAGGATCTCTATCGTTTCCTCGAAACGCGTTTTGTGGAAACATGTTTCATGGACAACTTTTCATGGACATACATTTCATAAACACACTGTTTTGTCGACACTGTATGTTTTGTGGGCACATGCCCCTGCGACATTTTGTCGACGACTCATTTTTTTACTAAGCCGCTAAAAGCTAGCGTGCAATTCACTAAGGCGAACTTAACCAAACCATGCTCCCCTCCCCTCTGTAATCCACGCGAAATGCAGAAAGTTTGTTACAAAAATAGCAGGGCTGTGTGCGACGAAACGTCTCAGGTTTTTCGTGGAAGCGAACATAAGAAGCCTTTCGATCAAATGTTGCATGTCAACGAAACAAACTGTAGATGAAAAGTCAGTTATCACAAACTGAATGCCACCGGGCAAAATTTTAGATCCGTATCCGCGGATATTCGCATCCGCAGCCCCCGACATCTGCATCCGATCCGCAATCCGCCAAAATTTGTCCAATTTTTATCCGCATCCGCCTGTTTACTCTGCAAATATGCAGGGCTTTAATTATTACTCATTCATCCATCTGATGGCTAAAGTGCTGCTACACTGAAGCGTAACTCATTCAGTGGCTTATTCTGGACAACGTAGAAAGTGAACCCAGCAAATGATCAGCCATTCCCAAACATTCTATCTTCTCTAGATTCCAGGCCGGAAAATGTCGGATGCAGATATGACTACTTGTGCGAGAATGTCTTGCCTGCCTCATCGTTTGTTAGGCTCCTTCTGGAGATTGCAATGGCTTGATGGATGCCCTACAGGAAAACATAAGTGCACACATTACTCGGGTAAATGTGGATGTGCCAGTGTAAGATGCCAGACATAAAAATAAGTGCGTTTGTCTCCCTTTTTTGTGACTACCAGTATCAGGCTTTTTTCGACATAAACAGTCGCCAGCTCGTCCTTATCCAAGTGTCATTTCAGTGAAGCTTAGTTAGTATAGTGTATTCGGGAGATTGTATATTGTAGTTTTCTCCTCATCAGATGCCATTAGTTCCGAGAGGGAACACAAGCGTCGCAGCGGTCGCCACGCCCCGATTGGGTGAAGTGTACCGCGACGTCAGAGGAAGGACACTGCCTCACGATCTCGCACCCGGCTCGCTTCCCTGCCTCAATTTCAAGGTTTAGCCGTTGTGTGCCGCAAGTACTCCGAGGAGCGGGACCTTGTTTACCCGGTGTACAAGATGCTGGGTTAGGCCGATACCAACGTGCTTTCGTACCTTCTATAAGTGTGCTTGTCACTTTGACCTTTATAATTGGGTTAAAAATCCCAAAAGCTATCGGCAGAGGCGATACCGCCGATGAACCTCCCTGTTGGTCCACACGGTACAAGGCAATCGTGCGAGGGGCCGGTGAAGCGGCGGCTAAGTGTTTCAGACGCTGGAATTCTATTCCTTGCATGTTCACGATTTAGGAGAATATTACATACTGCTTTGCAGGCCTTTCAAATGGCATTTATATCAAAAGCCTTTGGGCGGTCAGCAAATTCACTCGCGACCCCGACTCTGCGCGTACCACTCAGCGTGCGCTGGTTTTTCAAAGGTCTGAAGACCTTTGAAGTGTTTGTGGAACAGGGTTGTTTTACAACAATGTAGCTTCTTCGAGAATTATGATATAGTTCATACACGTATGCAGGCATGTTTTATTTTTTAGAACATGCACATTCCTGGAAATGAGTTTGTACGGTAGCAGGAAAAACGGACGAATTGCCCCCAGTTGCCTATAGGAGATGTATTGAGCTGCCCAAAATATGCGCAGCAATAGTGCCATACTTTGGAATGCTTATACTTTTTCTTGGCATTCTTCCTTTATTCCAGCTTTGTGTATTCGGAAAAAACAGTGTTTAGTATGAATTGTCATTTCCAACTTAAAGAGACATTGCTGCAGGTGCCCAAAAGCTTCCTCAGCCTCAAAACTCCCTACAGATGGACCCTCTGACAACAGAGGAAAACAGGAGCAGCATCGAGCATTCGAACGGCTATCCAGTGGTAGATGCTGCACTAATAGCAGAAAACGTGGAACCTGTGAAGGGCGACAGTTTGTGTGATCAAAGCTCCTTGTATTTTAGCTTCAGGACAATTTGATTCAGCTAAAATCTCAATTTTTAGAGCCTAAGAAACTAATAATGGGCTAAACACCTTCACCTACATTTGTTGTACATTACTTGAGTGATATTATAAAGAAGTCCACAGATAGCACCAGTCGAGTCCATTGAAATACTATCTGAATCCAGCAAAGACCAAATGCAAGCAATATAAACAGATTTAAATAAAGAACTATATATGCCTGTGTTCATTCTTTTTTTACTTTATCCCTGTACTTGGGCTGTCTCACTTGTGATTCTCTCTCCATGGCCCAGACTACATTTAACATGTTGCGCGAGCAGCATGCAACTTTTCTGCTTCGGCGTTTTTGTTTAAAAACAGATACAAAAAAAAAAAAAAAAGTATGCATAAGCTGCCAATTCATTCAGACCATTGTGTGAGATGCAAATCTATAGTGATGCTCCTGCAACTGTGGCCATATTTCTTCATTTTCATATACCAGCTGCGATTCATGCCTTGCCTGCCCCAGAGCCGTATATGTAGAGAGTTTGGTCAATGGGAGGTGCGGGCAGAGCCAGGGCATGCGGCAGACTCGGAAAGAGGGCTTGGCATGCTTTCTTGACCAACCAGAAGCCGAAAAGAATCCCCTAGCGGTGGTAGCAAGAAACAGTTCTGAGCCGATCAATCATCGAAGGTCTCTGCTCGTATATGGTTTTAATAAGTGCGTAAGAGTGAAGTGTAGTAACTCTTTGTGGTTGAAAATAGGGTTCACGTGTTGTTTCATCATGATCATGCAGAAAGATGTAAGAAACGAATGCGCCGCTCAACTCTGTTTTGCGCGGACAGAGTGTGACCGCTCTGACGGCAGATTCCCGGCGCTCGGCGTTTGGCGTAAGGATTATGTCGATCTTTCCGCTAGTCGCACTCTTCCACCATCATTTTAGATGAGTGTGATTGAAACATCACGTACACCATATTTTCAGCCATCGAGAGTTACTCCAATTCAGTTATCAGGTTTGTTTCTCGCGACCACCGCCAGGGTATTATTTCCGGCTTCTGGTTGGTCACATTCAAATTTCTGAAGACGCCCTGGAACACGCCCAGCCCGCTTTCGGCCAATGGCGCCGCTTCATTTGTCTCCTATACTTCCCAACGAATGGCCAAACTCTCTACATATACGGCTCTGGCCTGCCCTGTCAGCCATGACTGAAATGTTGGTTGAAGTTTCGTCTGTAGCTAGAGGCCATACTTGAATAAAGCCACATATAAAAATTTACACTTCCAACGAAAAACGTGCACAAAAATATTAAATAGAAAGGAGCGCGTCGAAAGCAAACGTCGTCACAGCCTCCGCAGGGCGAGCGGAGCGAGTCGGGCAAAAATTCTGTCCTTGCCGGCATGTCACCCCGGTTCACCGTAAGAGGGCGCCATGCAAACTTCTTGGGGGTAATAAGGTAATTCGACTTAGCCGAGTATTAAACGACCAATGAAATGTTCCAGGTGAGTTGCCATAGTGCCCCCGTGTCTCTAACTTCAAGTCGTATTTTTGTACAGAAATGTGCAATGACTATCCAGATGCCTTCAGTGCTCACATTGCGTTCAGAGTGTCTTATATTGACTGTGATAAATAAGAAAAGTATCCAGCTGATGTTGGCAAAGTTTGGAAGGCATTCTCAATTTCTCCTAAACCAGCCAATCATCCCAGTATAATATCTTGCAGGCAGCACAATCACGGCATGTAAGAGATCCTTTATCTATAATTTAATTTATTAGATTTTCTACCTCAAATGGAGGAGACTAAGAAAAAAGGGTGCAGTGAGATAGCTTGACAGGTTCCCAACCCTTTTCCACTGGCATATAAGCATACATACAATTAACTACCTGACATACAAGCAACCACCTACTTCCCAAAGAAAGAGCTGAAGGCAACAAGTCAGTTGGCACTCTCCAGTAAGGGAGCAAACCAGCAATAACATGCAAAGGAGAGAAACCCAAATTAAAACTAATAAAGACAGCTGGATCAGCTGTCATTATTAGGTCAGGTCAATAGGCGGCTGCAGTGATGTCGTCAGCACTCTCTGCTTGAACAACGATGCAGCTTCTGGAGCGAGTTACACTGTTGGAGAAGCCACTGCCTCACAAAGTGTGCAAGGCTCGTAATCAGCGTTCCGCGTTTTCGGGGTCTATTTTCCCTCATATTCAAGGGCGTTTTCTTGAGGTGGGCTTATGCTGAAGAAAACAGCATGCAAAATTCCTTCCCTCTTTGCTGATTGATTGGAAAACAACAGACAAGCAACCACTGCAAGTGTAACAAATTACAAGATCAAAAATCCCCCTACAACATGTAAAATAAAACAATTGAAAATCCATGTTCATTGGTGTCTGTTCCACATGGCACTCAAGTGCAGCATTACGGAAAGAATCAAGCAGCAGGGAATGTTAAAGAGAAAGTGCACTAGGACTAAAAATACAATTTACAAACTCGCTCGTTTTTGCTTTGAGAAAAGAGGTAGTTTTAAGCATTGTTCTTACACCGGCCGCACGGAGTAGTTCTTACAGGATTTGGTTGTGCTCAGATTTAAACCTGTATGTCTTGATAACATAACACAAATCTAATACAAAATGCACCTATGTATGTATATCTTAATTCTTTACATAAAGGGGGAAGCTGTACTTTTCTTTAGTACGGTTCTTGAGGTGAAAACGAGTATAGTTGCATACTCAGTTGCTCAAAACGTCTCGTGTTAACGCGTATCTTCACAGAAATAATAGCTATACCATAACCAGTGTGCACCATTACAACTGCTCTTCCATATCAAGGCACCTCCTAATAGAAAGAATATAAAACCAAACTGCAACGACCTAACTGCATTTTCTGTTCCAACTTTTTTTTTTTTTTCTATCCAAAAATTAGATTGATGTTTAGCATACCCTTATCAGTTTGAGGCTGTACCATTTTGTGACTTGTACAAAAATGATTGTACTGAATCTAGTGCATGCGAGTGGCATAGCCAGGAATCATTTTCCAAGGGGAGGGGGATCAAAATGCATGTGAGCATTTAGGGTGCCACTGATCTAGTGTCGATGTCACTACATCTTGGTTGTTTAATATCCAAGACCGCATCCCATATTAACCTCCTCTTCTTTTTTTTTTTCTTCTAAGGAAGAAACATTTGCAACAGCGCGAAAAGGTATTGTGCACATGTTGCCCCGCATAAAACAAAGCCTACAAGTACAATACGTGCGCTTGGATAACGTGTCCATATCGACAATAGCGATATGAAAAACGTATCAGTTGGGCCCCATTCGTTCCAGCCCATCCGAACAAAATCATCGGCTTCGCGCAAACCACTATAAATACGCTCGAGAGGTCACATCGACAAATTCCCAAGAATGACGTTTGTGATCTGAGACACATCCTCGATAAACAAACAGCCGTCAAACTTTCCAGACTTTTCAGTCGGATCGCGTACTCCGCGCTGCGTGGTAGATCGAGCAAGCCTAGCAAAAGGATGAGCCCGCCATGCAGCGCAAAAAAAAACCGGGCTTCGTGAGCGAAGCCGAGACCGCCGCGAGCAAAACCTTCCACCCGCACGTAAACACAACTCGGAACGGTATGTCCTATTCAAAAAACATAATCACACACACACACACAAAAAAAAATATATATATATATCGTTTCAGTCGCGATATTTTCGCGATGCAACACAAACGACGTTGGCAAGTCCTGCGCCGGACAGCTTCAACGGGGAAAGCACGATTTATATTTAGGACATTTTACGTGTCCATAACACCGCAGCAACTAACCGGTCGTCAGACAAAGCGGAACGAGACTTTAGACAATCCATCATGACGGGAAAAGGATACCGTTTTTTTGTTTTTTCTCGAAGCTAAATTATACTCGTTAAACCTTTTCTCACGATTACAAACGCTAACATGGGATCCCAACGCTCTTTCGAGCACGGAGTATTTGCAGTATATTTTAAAAACAGGAGTTAACTAACCGTGAAAGGCATAACCATTTGACGATCGAAACGGTCTTACGACGCCACGCTGGTTACTGGCGGAGGTTAGGGGATATTAAAACACGCACAACATTTTCGCCTGGGAATCAATTGTTTTCTTTCGCTAATAAACAGGCATGTGCCGAGTCCAATCAACATGAATCTCTGTCAGACTCAGACATTATGTTCAGTGTTCAGTTCACTGACGTGGTTTTGATGCCGCAGTGCGTGTAGTAATCGATGAGAAGAGCGACGACGAAAAATAGCATTTGAACTCGAGTGTCACGGAATATGTCGGCGGCCGCGCTTTTCAACAAGCGTCACGCCCAGACGTCGCGCCGCAATTGCAACCCAAAACACGAATCGTGCACGTCGTAAGCAAATGCCCCCGCACGCGGTGCTCGCCCCAAAGACGTTATGAGCAATAGTGGCCCGAAAGAGGTCCATCGGTCGCGAAACGACGCAGCCGCGGCGGCCGGTGTTCCCTGTCCCCGGTGCAGTCGAGTTCGCAAGGAACTCTCGATTGATGATTAAGCCTACTGTTCCAATAATAAATAAATAACCACTCGACCGAAACGCAACCTGCAGGGAGCGCCGTGCACGGTCCCGAAGAAACCTCCGGTCCCTCGAAGAGCGCAAAGAGAAGGAATCGTGATCGTACCTCTGGCGAAAAGTGCACTGAATCCATCGAGATCGCTTCGCATCTTTCTGTGGTCGGAGCGGCTGACACGGCCGCCATATTGAGATCTGGGCTTGTCACGAAGCGTTCGGGCATCTCATTGGCTAAACGTTGAAATGAAGGGTTCCCATTGGATCCAGATTGTATGATGGCGGAATCTCATTGGATCAAGGAGAAGTATCATATCCGGAATGCATAGTACTCGGCGGAGAACCACGGTGAGGTGACCTACGGAAGAAAACACACAAACGCGCACGGCGAAACATTCGGCTCGAAGCGCGACCAGCGCGACCACGCGCCTGGTCCCGACTGGCTCGCACGCATCACAACGTCGCCGCCGACCACTACCGCTCACTTTGATCGCAAATATCTGCTCCGAAGCAATCGCTGTAAAATGCGGCCCGCTGCCATCATCCCACCACTTCAAGAAGTTCAAGACAGCCCCCTAACGGTCAATGATATCGTGCCAGCAAAAATAATAATTGTACAAAATGGCGAAAAAGAAATGCGCCTAAGAGACGACAGCGCATGACAACACCATTCGCGTTTCGGGCGACCAAACGCGATATCTCACCCTTCGCTACCGCGTTTTAAAATCCAAACGACACCATAACAGTAGCAAAACATGGCGTTTGCGAAGAAACTGACAGGCCCGTCATTTGATGGCCGTCGTACGTGAGATGCCACTGATGCATTATCGGTTCCTAAGCCGCCTTCCCCTCACAGAAATCGCGTCCCGAATCGGGACATTCCAGCCCGGAGCATCCCGGCGCGACACGCCGGACAGCGCGTCGGCGCGCGAACTTTCAAAGCGCGAGGCGGGGGTCGGAAGAGGCGAGCAGCGCCGGCGAAGCGGAGGGGGTGCCCGTGTTGTCACACGTGGAGTCCGGCGGCAGCGGCCGGAGAACTCCCATCGGAGCGAGAGGAGCGCTCCCGAGCCTCCGGAGACCGGCTACATCATCCCTTCGGGGGATCCGATCCCTCCCATTTGCGACCACAACACACAGCAAGCGCGGAGGCGCGCGCGCGCGGAGAAAGAGGGGGGGATGCAGAGGGGGGAGGCAACAGCTACGCACGCCGCGCGGTTGGCGCGGTGCTCTCGCGCTTTCGGCCACCGCTTGGAGGCGATAAAGCGACGACCGGAGCCGCCGGAGTGCAATCCCTGGCGCCCGTACTCCAGAACGGTAGCGGCCGGAGTGCCGCCGGAGTGCCGCCAGAGCCGTCGCCGAAGCGCAACCGGCCCACCGGACCCTGGGGCACACGCGGCGCACGTGGCTGGCTGCCCGTAGTGGAGGCGACCGCCGCGCCAGCTGCGCCGCCACTCCTTTCCCCAAGCTTACCTGGCTTACCGCCCTTGCGGCGCGTGGTTCGGCATGCTGCTCTCGCCGATTGGCGCGCCACATCCCTCCGTCGTTCTTCTTTTCTTTTTTAGTAGAAAGCCTTTCGCTCTGTACTGCATCGCTTTGGGACCCGTCCAATGTTTACCAACGGGCACGGAGCAGGTGAGTCGCGACGCAGGTTCGTGCGCAGGCGATGGCTTCGCTTACTGATTGCGCATGCTCACCCAGTGGTGTAAAGAAACAAAATATACACAAAAATTCTCCTCTCGGCAGTACACACAGGAACAGAGAGTGCAGGATTGTAAGCGAGTGTTTATTTTAAAAGACACCCTATGTACAGCACTATTTACAGCCGTAAATTAAAATTAAAGTGCATGTAAAACAATGCACTATTTCGGCATAATAATTGCAGACTCTGATAGAATAAGGTTGGTTTTACTCCTTTTTTTTTACATACATTTATCGACTGAATGTCTGTAGATGAAAATAAGCCGAGGCATTTCAAGTTGCTAAACACAAAAATGCATTTGTTGCTTAGTATTTATACGATGATGTCCATGAAAAGCACAAAAACAACTTTAAAAAAAATTGGAGCACTTGTTGAACATAGTAAGGTCAATCTGCCCCATCAGAATTTACATCACAATCCATTACAATCTGGCATGCACTACCTTGTACATCTAAAAAAAAAAAAAAAAAAGAAATAGGCAATAATGCATACACTTCATACCTTAAAATGGGGGATAAGGTGTTCTTACAGGCATTGCTTCAGAAGTTGCATATTGTGTCCCATTGAAGAAAGTTCTATCTGCGATTTCAGCACCATTAAATCGGTGTTTTACTCGCAGTTAATAAATTTTGCAGTAGGCAAGGCAAAAGCTTGGGACTTGCACAAAATTTATTGCAAGAAAACCAATGCAAAAGCTGGCCTCATATTACTAAAAAAGCCCCCTCATGCTTAACCTTGTTTGTTTACCTAGATTCCCTGGGGCGGTACCCAAGGGAAGGGAAGAACCAAACATGACGTAGAGTCTACCACAGGAGAAACCCCCATTCCAAAGTAACCACTCTTCCAAACTCCTTTGATTGTAGACAAAATGTCAGGATGACAAGTTGTCATTTTATCCCACAAAGTTTTGCAGCAGACGCACGAAGCACAAGTAAATTGAGAATTCAAATGTTTTTGTAAGGCACCAATCAAAACCTTTAAACACACGTCAATCCTTAAATTATAAAAAAAAAAAAAAATGCATTGCCAGCTTGAGAGCTGCAAGCTTAAATCCAATTTATAAACTCCTTTTTCAGTCTGGCTGAAAATCTATCTCCTGTTTCCTTGCCTCATACTCCCTTCCTCGTCCCCCAAAGGCAGCGAAGTAGGGGGCTATTCCACACTTAAAGGCCGACGACCAGTTCGCGCTTTCCACTTTTCCCTCACTTCCTCCTCTCCCCCCCTTCTACCCTGTCCATCGTTGCCTGTTTCCTCCTCTCTCATGGTGAGGAGGATCTTCTGCCTTGCAGAATCTCGAGTCTGGCCGTCAGTCTTTAACGGAGGAAAGGCTCCCTCCGTTCTGGGATAGACGGACAGAATCGAGTTCTTCCCTACTCCCGTTGGCCTTCGAAAAAGGTGGAAAGAGCAAAAGAAAGCCCCTGGGAACACTGCACTTCAAAGCAACACCTGGCACAACACGAAAAATGCAAGCAGCGAATACAGTGCTATCTACAGCGTAGCACTGTCTCATTGTTCTCTATGTACAACTAGCAGGACAACTGCATTACAGTCTAGCTTCCAAAACCACGTCGTAAGCACACCTTTACAGCCTTGATCCCATGCATGTATCAAAAACGAAAGAAATAAAAAAAAAAGTCTACGTAAGGCTTGGTGCAGGACCCATTGCTAGCTACCGGGACAAGGGAAGAAATAGCTTTGATGCAACGACACCGCTCCATTTCCTGTCAACTTGAAAGTGTAGAAATGGGTCTTTCTGTTAACATATAGTATATATATGTATATATATATTTTTTTTTTTAAAAACCCTCTCGGGTGACAATGAAAGAAAAACGGTGTGGGGAAGGAGTCCTTTTTTTTCGTGACGGTGAATTAAAATGGTCGTGAAGGCGTGGCAGAGGCTATGTACACGTGACGCCAAAGTTCTGCCTGGCGCGGGGAGTTTCGGGCATCAGTAGATCATCTTGTGGATCTTGAGGATCTTGCCCAGGCGCTGCTTGGCCGTGGCAAATCCTTTCTTCGGCTTTTTGACTGGATGGGGAAACAAGCGGGCACATGTTAGTGCGCGAGAGTTCAGATACCACGTTACCGTATGCCCACAAAATTTTAAAATCCCGCTCCCAACACCAAGTGTCGGGAACGATGCTTTGCAGACGTGGCGAGCAGTGGGCCGATCTAAGGACGCTAAACAAGCTTCAGAGTGACGATGCTTCAGGCGGCGTCGTTGCCCGTAATCCAAAGCTTTATCTGAAATTGCAAGAAGCGGTTTTCCGCCCTCCAGAAATGCTACAACAGTAAGCGACAAACCAAAACACACAAGAATGAACTTCCCAACACTATCTAAAGCTTAGGAAGTCACATTTTCTGATTGTATGCGAAATGCGAAAAAGTTTGAACGTCTGGCAACAATCTGTGCACTGCCATCTTTGTTGCGTCAAGATTCCTCTGCTGCCTGTTAATTCCGTAGCACTGTCGGTAACAATCGGAGCCTACTGCTCACAGTTGTCAATCACCACCCACATTTTCGAGCTTAGGGCTAGTATTGTTTTACGCTCTTCCTTGCGCAAGTATGTGCTCGTCACCCCGCCAATCGCTGGTTTCTCGCACGTAACCAACATGACAAACATACGCTTAAGCTTGAGATTGAGCTCCGAGTGCCAGCATGGGCACGGGTGCCTAATTTTCGAAAGCGCTTTCTCTGCGCGAGTGCTTGTGCGATGACGGATCGTTCAGAGCTACGCTTTCGCGCCCTGGCCTTTGCCAGCGCCAAAGTCAACTGGTGAGACGGAGCATTTTGTTCGGCACCCTACTAGATGGCGCTCTGCATATCGTCTATTGTGCCTGCCCTGCGCTGAGCACCAAAATGGCAGCTCTTACGAGAAAGTCGGCGAACGGAGAACCGATACTCAAAGCATAGCTTGTTTAGCGGCTCTAGAACAATCCATACCACTTTAACTTCCTCTGCTGTTTGCCTCGTGCTCGTGTAACCATGTAGAGCAGCGGTTTTCAACCATTTATGTTTCGCGGACCCCTTGTGGATCGGCGGAGATGATGGAGGACCCCTTCCGTGGTGAGGGGAAGGGAAAGGTATAGGTTAATAGTGAGAATTATTTAATAAACTATATAACTAAGGGCCAGTGTGAAGTAGTCTTTGCTCATTGACGCACACATGAGAAAACTCGCCCAAAAATTAAAATGTTTCTTATCAATCTGAAAAAAAACAAAAAAACTTTTATTGCCGGGCTAGACTGATGAGGCAGTGCATCGCGGACCCCTAGAATGCCTTCGCTGACCCCAAAGGGTCCGTGGACCCCCTTTTGAGAACCACTGCTGTAGAGTGATAACCGAGGTGATCCGTGACGCGACAAGCGCAATGTTCTTTCTAAGTTCCTCGACCACTTCCGACGCATGCTTAATGGCCTCGAAATGTGCCAAGGAATGTAGTTAAAAAGGGCCGGTCATAGATCAAGCTGCCAGTCTGAATTATCTGAACATCTTGCGTAATGGTGACTGTAGAAGCAAAGCACGCTTCTTTTAAACCTAAACGGTTTCTGTCAAATAAGGAGACAGCAACCAAAGATATTGGGAGGTGCGCACTTGCTCGAGCAAAGCGGAAGGCTAAAGCGCGAAACACGTGTACGACGAAACCGTACGATCCGACGTGCGGACTGCGGGGGGGGAAGGGGGAGGGTTTTCGTAGCACCGGAAAGAATTGAAAACCCTCGCCTCCGACCGTCGTATTGCCTGATGATCGGACGTCGGATGGGACGGTTTCGTCGTACATGTGTTTCACGCAAAAGTATTTCAGATTACTGCATTGTTTCACAGCTAGCGCTGCCGTACCGCAATATTATAAGAGACGGCCCAATCCTGAAGGTGGCCCCACCCTTACTTTCTCGTCCAATTTTCACCCCTCGAAAAAGCACCGAAAGGTGGTGGACCCCTTTGCGTTGATTTACCCCGTTTGGGCAATTTGCTCGATGGGGTGGGCAATGTAATCTTAGACAACAATAGAGACTGCTCTTTTAGAAATGCAGAAGGAAAGTGAAGAGACAACATTCTTAGATTTGTCTGCATTTCTGCTCCCCACACACCGACAAGCTTCACGTAGTACACGTATGACTGAAGACTAGATCATCCATACAAATAAAGTATGAATTGCAAAACTTCTCAAAAACTTTTTACGTAAGAAAAAAAAAGAGCAATAGGGCCGGGGGAAAAACGCTCGCACATTAAAAATCAGCGCAGCATGTAAAATGCAGGTGGCATGCAAAACCTATACAGTGTGACTCATAAAAAAAGCTACAAAGATGAAAGAGCGTGTTGGTGAAAATACGGGAGTCAAAGAAAGAATAAAAAGTGACCATGAAAGAACTGTGCTGTCTGTCCTTGTCCTTAAGTGTTTTTATTCTTTCTAGTGACCGTGAAAGAACTGTGCTGTCTGTCCTTGTCCTTAAGTGTTTTTATTCTTTCTTTGACTCCCATAAAAAAAGCTGTTTACAATTCCCTGTAACGCCGGTTAGAGCGCAGCTCTTGAGGAGGAAGATGGGAGCGTAATGAGGGATAGGTGACTCCTTGAGGTCACGTGACCTAAGGGGGCTCGCGTGACGTCAGGGGGGTCACATGACCTCGGGGGTCGTGTGACTTCAGGGGGGTCACGTGAACTTGGGGGTCACGTGACCTCAGGGGGGTCACATGACCTCAGTGGGGTCACGTGGCCTCAGTGGGGTCACGTGGCCTCAGGGGTTTACGTGATCTGAGGTGGGTCAAGTGACCTGAGGGGGGGACACGTGACCTGAGGGGGGTCACGTGACCTGAGGGGGTCACGTGACCTGAGGGGGGTCACGTGACTTCAGGGGGTCAGGTGACTTCAGGGGGGTCACATGACCTCAGGGGGTCACGTGACCTAAGGGGGTCACGTAGCCTCAGTGGGGTCACGCGGCCTGAGGGGGTCACATGGCCTCAGGGGGTTACGTGATCTGAGGCGGGTCAAGTGACCTGAGGGGGGGACACGTGACCTGAGGGAGGTCACGTGACTTCAGGGGGTCACGTGACCTCGGGGGGGGTCACGTGACTTCAGGGGGTCACGTGACCTTGCGGTTACGCCGACGCCGCTCAAGCCGGAAACAGGGCCCTAAGAGCTGCGCTCTAAAAAAAAAAAGAAAGCATCACTGAATCTACTCACGCCTGAAGGCATCGGGAGGCAAGGGAGACTTCTTGCTGGAGGCAGACGAGGTTGAAGGCCCGGCATCAAACACATCGAGGTCTTTGTCCTTGTTGGCCCTGGAGGGCTGGGCCTTCTTGCGATGGTAGGGCCGCTTGGGGGGCTGCAGACCAAGTTTAAATTAACCTTAGTGATAATTAAACACCATTTGGAAACGCTCTCCATGGTTTCAGTTGCTGCCTCTCCTGAATCTAGGCTCTCCAACAGGGAGTGGCGTCCACATTCCGACGCCACGCGCGGCACCTGCAGTCCGACTCCCGTTGGAATTGCATCAAAGAAGCGAAGGAGCCAGGAGTCGATTCTCCCTTCAAGAGCCCCCGACGTACGCGCGTGGCGTATGCGTGCGTCGTATAGGAATGTTTACATAAAGTTGCTTCAAACAGGTCGAAAAAAGAGGCCTGCCCAAGTCTGAAATCGCCGACAAATTAAACATTTTCGGCATCGACTGTCGGACACTGTCGACCGTGTCAAAGAAGCGAGACGTATTGGACAGGTTCGGAAGAGTTTCTCGTGCGAAAGAAAGCGCACCCGCGATTCGAAGAACAAAGGTTGCCAACTGCCTTTCATACATCGGACTTTCTCGCGTGCGCGTCCTTGCCAATCTCTAAGGGAGTGTGTGCAAGGCACGTTGGTGAAGCCATCGAGGATAACTTTGATTTGTTTGCGCTCGTCGGTGCAGACATTCCCACTGTTGCATGCTGCGAGCGTAGATCTCGCGTGCGGCCCAGGTAAAGACGAAGAGATGTCGGAGAGGCGCATCAAGAAACATCGACGACTGCTTTGGAGTAAAGTGAAGTGCGATGGCGGCGACGGGATGCCCGAAGCAACTAGAGGACTCCTGCTCCAAAAAAGTCATCGGCAAACTCCACTTCACTTTTTTTTTATTCCTCAGTAAAGGTGTTGTGAGTTGTTCATCACTCAGGTTTATTTGATCACATACTGTAAGCGACTTATTTTCTGCGGGTTCAATATTTGGCGATTTAGGTCAAAGCTTAAGTTTTGAAATAATTCGCAGTTTCTAATTTTCGCAGCGCGGTGGGATCTCAATATAGATTCCAATGTGTTTACATTTTACCGAAATTGTTCGCGAAACCTATTTTTCGCCAATTGTAGGCGATTCACGAAAATCAGGTCCTTGCGAAAATTAAATTGTTTTGGCTGTCTTGCTTTCATCGAATTACTGCTTGTGTCTAACTGTTTTGCAGTCTCTTTGACTTTGTTATAACGAGGGACTTCTGTATGCAAAATGCCCCATCTTCAGCCACCTCTGTACACAATTTCAACTCGACACGTTGAGAAACTGTTTTCTAGCGATCCCTTCAAAAAGCCAACGATCCCTTTGACTCGTAAGGTATGTTCAAAAGCTTCAACACATTGCCCAGCCATAAAAACGTCCGGCCGATGCTTAGATCATTTGCAAGTTGTGGCAGCCGTCGCCACCCAGTGCAGAGTTGCGAAGAGACGAGAAACAGCGAAAGCTGTCTGGCAAGCGACTTACGGGCTTTTCGGCCAGCTTGGCGGCCGCCTCGGCCAGGCTGGTCTCGACGGCCTCCTTCTTGGTGCCCTCCCTGATGGGCCTGGACGGCTTGGGGCAGTTGGGGACCAGCTTGGCTGCATGACGCAATGGAGATTCCAAGGACATCTCGGCTCAGTGACACGCTCGAGACTATGTTTTTCGAGCCCTTTTGCTCTTCCTTTTTCCACATATGGGGGTTGTGGCAGCCGGACGAAGCTTTGGCCCTTTCCCGCATAAATGTCATCCTTGCATACAGTGGAATCTCGATTAAACTCTCTTAATTCAGACTGGTGGATAATTCAAACTAACATGCAGGCCCAGTCCCCTGTGTTTCTAGGAAGAAACCCCCGGTAATTTAAACTTTGCATTATTAAAAGTTTGGGTCCCCCTCGGGTTCCAATTAGCAAGATCCCACTGTACCTGTAGTTGACCAATCAAACTCCGGCTTGACTTCTCCTCCTCCCTACTCTACCCGAATACCATATCCATATATCAGAACTCAAAAGCTCGGCTCGATGCCAGCAGTGTAAAGACGGGTTTAGTTCGAGGGGTTCCTATAATTATGCCACGTTCCCAAAAAAGTAATGAATAAAAGACGAAAACAAACTTTGCAATTAAGCGGCAGTGTGACCCATTAAAAAAGGGTTGCAAAAGGAAGAAAGAAAATAATTCCTTTGAAAGAGGAAGTTAGCAGGGGAATAGGGACTCTAACCGATTGCTGCAGGCCCCCTGGGAAGTGGCCCAAAAAGGCAATTGACGTTTTGCCGAGTGGCTAGTCTGCCACCAGTTTAAGGGGGAACACTGGTCTTGGAGCTTTTTTTCTTATTCTATGACCAAACCCAACGAAACTGCACAAGCTTGTTCAGCATTTTGTGCTGATTTCATATATCTGGTCATTTCCTCAGTACGTAGGATTGTCCTCAAGGTAATTAAAACTTGCCTGCCTTTGTTTAGAGGAATGATAGGAAAAAAACTGCTCAACAATATATCCTTTCTAACACATGGCTAGATACTACAAAGTGCACAGCATACAATGTTGGAAGTACTTTTAAGATAAAGCCACTATTAGTGATTTTACCTCACATTAAAGTTCAGGACTCAATGCATAGCTAACAATTAATAAAACAAAAAATCAAATAGAAAAACTTCTAGACTTATATTAGAAAATCTGCTCTCAACATTGTATGCTTCACACACTTAGCTACACATTTCAGGAAAGGTTATATTTCTATCTGCTCTGGATGCTTAGATATCCCTCCTGCAAGTTTTCAACGAGTCCAAAAATTGTGTCTTCTGAAAACAATGTTTCAGAATCAACTTCAATACACATTCAGCCCAGATAGGCATTATTAACTGATTTATAGCCCAGATATTCATCCACAAAATTAGAAGCCTGGTAAATTCAGAAGAACAACAGCCATCGCCATTTTCAAAAGAATTCAGTTCTAGGACGTTTTTGGCTCCGAAGACCCATGTCCCCCCTTAAAATAGTGGGACAAGTCCCTCCCACAAAGCTCTCTACTTGCCCTAATTCGGAGGTTTCCTCCTTCCCAGCATTTTTTTCTGCAAAAGTGGAAAGAGTGGGGGCATTGTGGGAGGAGCCCATCTTTCTATTCTTAACCTGCAACAGATCATAGCCTCATCAACTCAGTGTACGCTCTTGCAGTTGATGTGCAAGTACTTCACGACTTGTTGCGCACTAAAACTAGTTGTCGCGACCTCGAGCTACTTTAAGGGGCGGCGTGCACCGAAACCCACCCTTGGGGTTCCAGGCCTCGTCCCGCTTCCAACGCCCTCTGGGTTTGAAGACATGCAGCTCGTCGTCCGATGCCTCGAGCCCCGGATAAACTGCACAGAGAGAGCGCCGGGAACCGTGACTCGCTTCTGCGGTTTTTGAGCCGAGAAGGTTTTCTTTACGTTGGAAAGACTCGTATGTAAAAGTGCAGACGTTGTGGCAAAGCGAGAAATGTGGGGAAGGAACCACAGCAGAAGTGGTGCAGAAACTCGGTGCTCTGTGTCCAGTTTCCACATGCGTCTCCCCTTCCCACATTCATCACGCGATGGTAGAAACCGAGACGATGCGTGACAGCAAAATCGCAGCTGAAGCTTTGTCTCAAAGTGGTTATGCCGACGACGACGATCGGGCGCTAAAGGCTGAGGTCGGGACGCCGCTCAAATCAATGCCATACTCCGTCCCACTCCGAGACCAACAGCAGCCGAAGCTACAATCCGATGGGGCCAATCAGACAGTGGCAAAAGTGCATCGTTTCCTGTGGACGACCGATTGAGCCGGCGACGGAAAACGCACAAAGGCGACGAACGCCACGACGATGCACTTTCGGTGCCCCTCGATTAGACCTGTCGGATCCCAGCATCTGCCGCATCCAGACTTGGGGCGAAACGGAGTATAGAACTGATTTCGGAAAGGTTTGGTTCTAACTTCGAGCCGGTTTTAGCAAAAATGTGACTTTTGCAGAAAAAAATTGGCTCGCGTGGACAATAAAATTGACACTAGCTTGATCATGCTGACAATGACCGGAGAGCACAAAATATGTTGTGAATGAGCTGGCCGCATGCCAAGCGTGTGCGATGTCACATAGCGTCGCGACGTCGCACAATGTCCCAGTCGCATGACGCGTCACAATGTCCTAGTCATGCAACATCATGCAGTCATGTGACCTTACAACATCACAGTAACGTGGCTACGACGTCACGGGATGCTGTGAGGGAGCATGGTGATTCTTCGTGACAGTTTTCGCGTAGGATTCGGCCAATAAAGCTTGTTCAGCGTTAAAAACCGACTTCTGTTTGGTTCGGTGCCGCTCACCATACTCCTCGTCCTGGTGGCACTTCTTGAGGGACTCCTCAAAGTCCTCATCGTCCCCTTCCCGCCGCCTCTGCCGGCCCCGCCGGCCCCCGGCCGGGGCCGGGCCGGGCCGCCGAGGGCTAAGGCTGCAGCCCTTCTGGGGGCACATGCCCTTGACGCGGGCCAGCCCCGTGCTCAGGGGTCCCCCCTCCAGCAGCTCCTGTGCCGTGGGCCCCATCGGGCCGTCCGAGGTGCCGAAAGTGAAGGCGCTCTTCGACATGGACAGCATCCCCTGGATGGCGTCCCGCGTGGACGGCGATGCCCGCCCGCCCCTGGGGAAGGAAGAGGGCTTAGTACACTACCATATCTTCTAGACTATACCTGTTTAAAGGGGCACTGACACATCAAAATAATTTTTTATTTTTATTATCTGAAACGATTGAAAACAATGCCGGGACAATACTCTCAAAATTCGAAACTTGGGAATTCAGAACAATTTCCAAACGCCGAATTCGAAGTTCTCGTGCGATCTGCACCGGTGCGTTGACGTCAAGTATTGCGCAGTCCTGAGAGCCTACTTTCTTTCACGACTCCGTGCTGTTGCCATCGCGACCCAAAGTGAGGAGGAAAAGAGCGGGAGAGATGAGGGCGCCGGCAGACCGTGAACAAACCGGTTTCTTCGTCCGGTTCCCCGACACACCGATCATTCTCTGCTCGAGCGCCGCCAAGTTTTCCGAGGGAGGGTACAAATCCAGGAGGCGACATCACACCGGACTATGATTTTTGGTATTTCAAAAAGAAGGGCCGTAGTGCATTTGCAATTGCGTTAAAAAACATGTTTTACGATTGCAGTTATTAAATGTTATACAAATGTCGCCTACAAAGCTTCTAAACTTCATGATTTGTGACGTCACGAATCAAAAGAAGCGAGGAGGCGAAAAGCGGGAGGGGAAAGCGCCAAAAAAAAAAAAAGCGTGGCATAAGAAAAATTTTTTTGTGACGCGTTTCTTTTTGCGAGTTTATGACTACAACTTGCATCGTTTTAGACAATAAAAAAAATTATGACCCTTGGGGTGTCAGTGCCCCTTTAATGATAATAATGTAATAGTCTTGCATGTTTGTTTAGACAATGGGAAGTTAGACGGCCACAATGGGTGTCCGGTGCCTCCGCTGTAGATGACAAATTTAGACAGTGCAGTACTGCCGCTAAATTCGTTTGCTTTCGCTGTAACTTTGTTTCGCCATAACTTGACGAAGACCGAACGCTACAGCCCCTTCAAGCCAATCGGCGTGACGGAGCCAAAGCATGTGACAGCCCTTAACAAAGGTACAGGGGCGAGAGCAGAGCCCAAGCATTTGGAGAAGAGGGGAAGAAGGAACGCACCTCTTAACTCAAGACCTCTTTTACATGTCCAAGACGTTGCTATCCTTGCCCCTAGAAGATCAGCCCGTCGCTCAAAATTCACCCCAAAGCGGCTTTTATCCTCTCTCCCGCTCACACTTCGACGGCACTCCACAAAGTGGTTAGATAGAGCATGGTCGTGCGACTCTCTTCGACGCTGTCGCATTCACTCTTTGCCAAATTACGGTGAAACAAAGTATAGCCTGGCGTTTATGCTTTGTTTCGCTTTAGGTCCAGACGCAGCTAACGCTACGAGTTGATGAGACCAATCGAACGGCGTGAAAAGCATGAGTCACCGGGTCTTTCCTGGATGAGTGGTTCAGTAATGATAGAACACCTGACACACGGCACCTGAACAACACCGTGACACTGTTTCATTCAACCCGTCGGCCCGTAGCATCAGTCACGACTTGTGATGAAACGAAGCATGGTGTATCACGCAGTGGTGATACATGACTGCACGCCGGTACGACATTCGTCCAGATTGCAACGAGCAGGGCAGGGAACCTTGGCCTCTGCGGCGCGGGCTTTCGCTCCACATGCTGTGAGCTGCGGTGCCCTGACCCACTCGGCCACCGATCCTTTTAGTACATGTTTTAAAGTTGAAACTTTACACGGCGAGGACTCTCTACAGGTGTGGACCATACAAAAATTTATTTCCTGTGAATCGTTCATTATGACGAGACTAAACATATTTAATGAATGAAAGGGTATGGTGATGATGATTTATCTATGATAAAAGCTTCTTTGTGAGCTAATAAAGCAGGTACTACTAGTCAAGAAGTGCAGTGTATGAGATTTTTTTCTCGCTCTCAGACTAGGCACCAAGCACCAAACGAAGAAAAATAGAAGAAATTAACACTTCCCTAGGCACCAGATGCAGACTGTGCACAAAATCACAAAATGCATACAATCTACAAAAAAAAAAAAAATGAAAAAATAAAATTTTGGCAAAGGCATTTCACAATGGTAATGTGTAGGAAGGCTAAAGCATTCCAACAAGCAGCGTGCCATGTCTTCCTATTGCACACGGTGCTCCGGCGGCGACATCAAGCTCCCCCACTCCACAGGCGCGGCGAACCCCGCCGGGCTTACGACGGCTTCCGAGACAAAGCATTTGCGTTGCTGCACCTCTCTTTGTGTTTCATTTCTGAGGCGCGTGCTTGATGACATATTTTAACGCCACTGCTCTTTCACGTAATGGGACAAGTACGGCTTTCGCCTTAAAAAAAGTTTTGGCCAAAATTTGTTTTTGCAGTTATACAGCAGGTGCAGACTATAGTGTGAAAAACACAATACTATGTTTAGGGCACAACCGCGTCAGACTTGGGTTCCAAAATCCATGATGTACGATGACTGTGTGAGGATGACTGTCCGCCTAACGCTTGTGGACCGCATATAAGAAGCGAATAGATAGACTTCTGTCTAAATGCATACCGGTAAATCGGCCAGTGCAGCAAACTAGCTTCAGCGGGAAGCGATCACGTGAATGTGCACCAGCATGACGAGTCCGCAAAGTCCTTACCCGAGCTCCTCTTCAAGGCTGACCCTCGTGCTGTCTGTGTCGAGAGCGATGCTGGAGGCCAACAGGAGATCGTCGATGGTCCCGTTCTTGGGGATTTCGGAGGCCTCCTCGCTGACGCTCGTTTTGGCCGCCGGAGCCGCCTTCGTTGGCGTCGCTTTCTCCAGCATCGACTTTCCATTGACTGCAAGACCAACGACGTGATCTACTGCTTACCAACAATGTAAGTGATGTTGTCAAAGTAGAACATTCACGGCTACTACATTGTCTCATGAATACGGATTCCTATAGTTTCCCCGCTATAGAAACAAACTTTTTGGGGACAAACTGGGTAAATACATTCATACATGTTTCATTGTTATAGACTACTCGCATCACAGACGACTATTTGGGAAAACAGACATGTCTGTACGAATAAGACATGACTGTATCTGTAATGAAGCATCCTAACGGCTTAAAATTTCTATTGGGGCCAATTGGTTCGTGTTTAGGGAGAATAGCTAAGAAGTGTGCTCGGTTGGCCCTGCAATAAGCGAGTACAATGCTAAGATCAGTCCTCGTTGTATGTGTGTGTCTTCCTCTGCCCATGTCTAGGGTTGGTGACAGGACAAGATTTCAGTAGATGCCCCACCTCCAGAGCAAGCTTTCTGCATTTGTTAATGCTTCGTTGCACGCACAGGCAAAGCCTAGCAAAAAGCAAGGAGCATGTGTCGAAGGCTGACCTTCTACTGCCTTCTTATACTACAGTTGAACCCCTCAATAACGAAAGCCCTCAAGAACGAAATTCTCGCGGCAACGAAGAAATCTGGCGGCTCCGGCGAACGTCCATAGAGTACAATGCATCTGCACCCTCTCAACAGCGAAGAGTTTTTAAAACGCAGTCCCGCATTAACGAAAGTTTGAGGTAGTGATCTGCAACAGTTGGGAAACCAGTTGGGAAACCAGAAGTACGAAAAGTGGAGCAGCGCATTCCTCCGACAAGTCGGGCACATACGTTTCCGACAAGCATCGGCACGGCCATTGCTGTTTACATTCGGTCGAATAATAATGATGATAGCAACGAGATTTTTTCTTTTTCGGTAGCTGAAAACAGCGTTTTGCTAGCCCATCTGTTGGCAACTGCGTAGGCGCGTGATGACACCGCCGGCTGCCCGCTGCCATTTCGCCGTCTGCCGCGTGCACGCCGAGATCGCTCGAGCCTTGTTTACTTCCTTGTGTTTGGCCTGTCGGAAAAATGCCGCCTGCCGTTAAAAAGCAAAAGTTTGTGACTCTTCAGGAGAAGCCTGCAATCGTCGCCGAAAAGCAGAAAGAAGTCGGATATTGCAAAGGAGTTCAGTACCCCGTGCAGCTCACTTTCTATGATTCTGAAATCCAAGGACAGCATCAATTTTAGTCCTGGAAAGTGATAGGTGTGCTTATTTGTCCATTTTCGCGACGGCGATATTCTTGCGAGAACGAAAAAAATTGCCTCCCTCGACGGTTTCGTTATGGCGGGGTTCGACTGTATCGCCAACTATAGTTTGCACTCTTTAGCTCATTTTCCGTCCGAACTACGCTACCCTCACACGAAACCCCAAAGTACCCGGTCAAACAGAATATCAGGGCTCTGCAGGTTCCTCAACCTTCGAAGAGAATGCCCCTTTTGAGTCAAAGAGAGGAAGAGAAAGAGGCGCTCACAGGACAGACGCAGCTTGAGGGACCCCTGCTTGGAGTCGTGGTGGTCCGTCACGGCCGCCATGGAGGTGCTCCCGGCAGCGGCTGCCGCGGCGGCCGCGGCCGCAAAGTTACCCATGGAGGCGTTGCTGCTGAAGGTGGAGATGGGCGGCAGGGCCGGTGTGGCCGGCACTGCCACAGCCCGCTGGTACGACCGGCGGGACTGCACGGGCGGGTTCTCGTCTACCACGAGCCCGTCGTCGTCCGAGTCGTTGAAGTCGTACACCGACTCCTTCTGGAGGGGCGCCACAGTCTTCTTCTCCTGCTTGACGCTGTGTCACGAGGGGAACGGTTCGGTGTTGCACGGGTGGGGACTTTGTTCCCTAAGGTGTCCGTTGTAATGACTCCGCGTTACATGGGAAAGCTCTTGGTAACACTGAATTGCCCCAAGTTTAGACTCCACCCTAATAATAACGTTAATAAGCTTTATTGGCTCGGGAGATCTGCAGCACTGCAGAAAGGCAGTGCTGCGGATCTTTGTACCATAGAGGCCCATGTGCCGAGTCTGTAGTCGCCTACAGGAGGAGAACAGAAGGGCAACTCTTTCGGGTGCCCTGCTGTTCTAATTCTGTCGGTGAATATGGTGATAATGATTATCTGATAACCGTCACACTTCAGTTTTCGTATGGCGTAAAATGCCGAGCAAGTGCCTACCCAAAATTTGGAGATGATCTTAAAAAAAAACACGAGTGCACTTAAAGACTACTTACACGTAGGAAGGAGAAAGCCAGTCAAGGACGACGTCTAGAACGACCTCCAAGACGATGTTAAGGACGTCTAGGACGACGTCGAGAACGAAGCCTAGAAGACGACGCTTAGATGACGACACCTAGGACGACGTCGAGAACGACGCCTAGAGGAGGACATTAAGGAGGCTGTGGCGTATTTGCGTAGACGGCCACGTTTCTCGCAAAAGCCGCCATTGATGTAGACGCCGCTGCCGATGTCGAGGCCGTAGATGTAGACGCGGTTGACTCACAGTCCATCACACGAAGCACACAACGAGCAGAGATGAAGTCCAAAGCGCACCTTTCGCACACAGCGCTCCTGCGGTGATATCACGCTGATGGCGTATGACGACGCTTATGACATATTTTTGTGGCCATCCTTCGGACACAACGCTGGCACTTGGTTTTCACATACTGTGACAACCGAGGTCGTCCTAGAGGACTAGGATGACTTCTAGGACGACCGCAAGGACGACACCAAGTTAATGGCACAAGTAGGGTCGCCCATTTAGTGGCACGTGCTGCACAATCGCGTCTTTATCTGCTTTTTCTGTTTTTTCGCTCAATGGGACAAGTAAGGCTTTCGCCTTAAAAACCGGGAGATGGGTGCTCGTTAAGTCCGAGTGCAGAAAGGAGGAAGGAGGCACGAGATAGGGTGGTTCTAGCTGCTTTGCACCGGGGTGCTTAGAGAAGTGGCCGACGATGAGCAACTCTGTCAGATAGGTGGGATTGTAAGTCTGGGGTGGGCACTTCACATGTTTTGATGTAGAACTATGTCTTCCACCGCACCTTGAAGGGGGTGCAAATTTGCGAGAGGCACACACCAATGATGTGGCGAACATACTATTGCGTCTGCCACGGAGGCACAATCGGCTCCTTTCATCCGTACGTGCTTCTTCCTAAAAACAAATTCGAATTGCGGGTTCGAAATGGCCCAATAGTGAGCTTAGGTTTTCCCCATTGACTTACTTTGCGCGCAATTCCGCATGTGCGCCTCAGGGATAGTGGCGCATGGGGCTGCGAAATTCCTTCAACCAAGCTCCGAGCAACGGGCATTCATTTCTTGCGCACCCGCCATCGTCGTGCGGCACAGGCCCGTGGACAAATCTCCAGCTGCCACAAACAAAACATCTGGGACGAGTGGACAAGGCACGGCCTCTACGATTCCACACAGCCTAGTCAAGACACTGGCGGACAGAAAACGTCTGCACCCTGGCTGCCTTCGTTTCTTTCATGCACAACACCTTTGCTCTCCTACTTGTGTCCACAACTGCACCAACGACTCTCGGCAGGTCGTGCATCGACACGAAGTTCCACAAACATTTCGACGTCTTGCGATGCACCAGACACATCTGCTACTTCTCGTACCTTCGTCTTATGCTCGCTGTTCTTTGATTTCCATCGCTCTACATACTCACCTCATTTCTATGCAAATAAACAATGACTTCATATATTACCCCCCTCTAATTTCTTGTGCCACCCACAGTTTTTTTCTTTTGATTTTCAAACTTGTAAAGTAGTAGGTGGGTGCTTATTAGGACACAGGCACATGCTCGGTATTTTACGGCCCAAGTAGCATCACCCATTGAAAGATTGCATATCCCTTGCAGCTGCTGCCGGTGGCTAGGTTGCACAAGCTGTCGGCCAATTCACTAGTATGTGCCATCCTCACACACTCATTTGAGCGCACAACCACAGGTCTTCCTCCTTTTCAGCAAATGCTTATGGCTAAACTGCGATTGCAATAAAGTGAGGTGCATTAGATTAGCACACTTTTGAGGCCTTGCCCAGCAATTTCGTGAATTACTAATAGGCCCTTCCCCTGGCAGATGCCGCGCGCTCTGCATTAGTGGTTGTCAAGCGGCCGGCCTCGGCGACCAATCGGTCACGTGATCCACCCCAGTGGCACATGCTGTGGAGCAAATCGAGCGTAACACTCCCAGCGCCACCACTTTCGGAGCGTCTGTCCGTGCTTTTTAGCAGTTTCGGTTCCCATTGCCATCTTGCTGAAAGCATGAACTTCAGATCGGAAGCATCCCAGACTGTTTACTATTTAATTAACGGTGACCCCGACGTTTAGATACAATTAATTTTTCCTTATAGTTATATAAACCAAATGAAGACAACTAGAAGTACTTGTACGATCCGTAGGATGCAATTAAGCAGAATATAAAACATGTATGCTGTAAAGCGATCGTCATCTTTGAAGACAACTTCCATCTCCGGAGTATTTGGCTTATTGTTTTCTAATTAGTCGAATTACTTTACAAGGACCACACAATGAACATACGACATACCTCTTCATCCAAAATGGGTGCGCGCAACGTCTTTGACATAACGCAACATCTTGGGCCTCTTCACTGGCAAGGTGAACGACTTGGGAAACACTTTGCCGAGAACAGCTGCCTCGTCGTCGCTCGAGCTGGAGGAGCTGGTATCTTTGTCATCTTTGTCCTGTCGACTGCGCCAATTGTTGCATTTTAATATCGGAACTCAAAGACAGCTGGACGAAGGACCAGCTGTTTCATCTTCGTCTTCTCTTTCACTCCTCGTCTTTTTTCCACCCCCTGCGAGCACTTCCTTCCGACAGATACCAGACACAACAGTCCCTGCCGCAGCTTTCGCTGTCATTGCTTTCTATTAGACCTCATAAAACTAACTGCAGGGATGTCATTGCCGCAGTATTCTCGGTCGAGCCGGTCATGACAAGGGGAACGAAAGCAAGCGCAACAACGGAGAGCCCACTCAGCAATCAAGACCAAAAAGCAGCGAAACTCCCTCGCGAGAACATTGATAATGAAACTGAAATGTTACGAGTGACTATAGATCATACTCCTCAAAAAAAAAAAGGCAGCACAAAGAACTACTTCGAACCGCTCGACACGCCCCTCCACTTCACCACTAATTGGTTGGAGCCGCTCGGCGAGCGCCCTACCGATTCCAGATCTACATGCGGCACACAGAGAGCTTGCTCGCATCTCGCGAGGAAAACAAGAATCCGCCCGGCATGCGCGTGCTGAGTGCTTGCTCTTTGCCAGGGGAAGGGGCTATAAATTTGTGACAAGGTCACATATATTAACTGAACCAAAAATGTTGTAACCCGAGGATATCTCACCACATTCTGCACAAGGTGACATTTTAACATTTTTAATTGTAAAACTATTCGGCCAGAAAACCAAAATGGCAACCTTTTGAAATGGCATTTGTTCGAGACCTAATAAAATATGCCCTCTAAACCGCAGCAGGACAAGTTGAACTCAGATTGGGCCATTCAATACAGTAATTTCACTACTACTCTCTCAACGCTGTTTTTTTTTTTTTTTTGTCTGAATTGAAAGTGTCCTGCCATAGGCCTAAAAATAAAATGGATAGTGTTAGCAAACCTAGGCACCATGCAATGTTCCCGGAGTACATCAAAGCATACTGCACAAGTTTGGAGATAGGTGTGTATGCCATTTGCCTCAAAGCACACATACCCCTGGCCTTTCTTGGAGCCCCGGCCCTTAAGTCCTCCTGAGAACTTGGCGCCGCCCGTGGCCTTGACGGGCAGTTTGACCTTGAGGTTGAGCCCAATGGATCCGGCTCCTGGGGTGAGATTTTCCAGGACCTCGGTCTTGACCGCTTTGGAAGGGCTCGGCTTGCCCTTCTTGGACGCCTTCTCTGCCTTGGTCTTGACGCTCAGTTTCTTCTGCAAGGCGCAAAACGGGCTGATCCTGAGCAGGGTTCCTATTCTCGGTAAATACCGATAAACCTTGAAAATAACCCCCCAAGCCGGTTTTATCAAAATCGAAGAAAACTGAGGGAAAAGTCCCGAGTTGAAACTGTCCTTGAATAAAAAAAAAAACCGAAGCTTCGTAGGAAGAAACTTTTCACCTTCGGCTTTGTTTTGTGTCGACACTAAACAGCCCCCACTGAACTGCCTGCGAAGGTGCTTCTTTCTTTATAATCTTGTTCTCTTAACGGTAAGGGGGTGTTTTCCAGGCATTCGGGTTTTGTGTATGGTCCCTGGACGTTAAAGAATTTCATGCCCGTGTCATTTTTTTTTTTTGTCACATGCCCCGATAAACCTCATTTTTTTTTGTCTGACACCATAAACTGATGACAAAAAACACAAAATGTGTGGAAAAAACAAGTTTATTTGAATGAAGCTGAAGGATAAGGTCGAGAGAAAAGTAATTTATGTTACCAGGCAACAGTTGGACAAAATGTGAACTGAAACTGTGGCCATTATGGGCCTATAATATCCCAGGAATTTTAAACAATTCCAAACCTTTGATGTGAATAAACTTTTGTATGGCCTGAATCACTGGAATGGGAATATAACACAAAACATATTTGCAAAAGTACAATTTAACCCAAAAAGCCAATTTGAGTACAGTGAAGAAAGAACCTATGATACGTCAGTATGATGCCACCTGCTGCTTACGAACTTCAAAATAAACCAATGAACAAATGAGCAACCAGTCGTGAGATTCAGCACAGGTGTTCCTTTGTGAGACGAGCCTTTCAGTCTCCGCAGAAGTGGCTATAATACAACTAGGGATGTCACGAACCTCCCTAGGTTCGAATTCGAAAGGTTTCAACATTTTCGAACAGAACTAAGGTTCGAATTCAAAATATTTCGATATTATTGCACCAACCAAGGTTCGAATTCGAAAAATTCGAACTTCCGGACACCGTGAAGTTTCGAATTCGAAACGTTTGAAGCTTTCGCGATTTCTAAAAGTGTGGGTTCGAATATTTCAAATATTTTTTTTTACTTGATGTTTGAGAAATTCAAAGAGTTTGAACTTTCTTAACTTGAAATTCGAGAGATTAAAAAATTTTAAATTTGTTGAGATCTGAAGTTAGAAAAATTCGAAGATTTCAAATTTCTTTGAATCTGAAGTTCGAAAAATTCGAAGATTTCGAATTTCTTTGAATCTGAAGTTGGAAAAATTCGAAGATTTCAAATTTCTTTGAATCTGAAGTTGGAAAAATTTGAATTTCTTTTAAAACTGAAATTTAAAAAAATTCGAATTTTTATAGACATGAAGTTTGAAAAATTCGAAGATTTCGAATTTATTTCTACACCAAGTTCGAAGGTTTCGATTCTCCTTTAGGGCTAAATTAAAAAAAAAAAAAACTTAAAAAGGGTTTGAATTTTTTTTTAAGTCCAGGTTTTTAAAGTTTAAAGCCCGGTTTTCATCTTCCTCCACAGTTTCAGTTTCAAATAACATTTTCACACCTCACTGGTTTTCACGAAATTAGGTTTAGAAAATAGAAAAGTTTGGGTGTGATATTTCGACTGCGCGAAGTTATTCAGGCAATGAAATGAGACGAGTGTCCCGGATTTGCTGGAATATTTGCCAGCGCAGAGTGACGTGTGACCATAGATCAGTAAATATGACCGTCAGCCCAGGGAGGGAGTCTTTGATGTGCATCGCACAGTCGTGATCACGCGAATGCACTGTTTTACGATACCCATCCAGTCCGAAACGGCCAGGGGCTGGCAGGAGGTGGAGGCTCAGAAAAGCCTTGAAGCGATCTGGAAAACTACCTCCCCACCCCCTTGCATGCTGGTACGCTGGTAGTAATCCGATCGAACGCCGACCGAGTGACGCTGGCATATAGTAGGTTTAGTTTGTAATTGTTCTGGAGGTTTATTTTCCGGGACGAGGGAGACGCCGAGCAAAAAGCACAGAAGCCGACACAACTCGAGGTCGAGGAGCATTCTACCATACCAGTGCCGTCGGAAAAGGAAAAACAGAAGAAAAAGAAAAAAGGGAAGGCTGCAGCCCCCCCCCCCCCCCCCCTCCTTCACTTTTTTCAGGGGTATTTCGGACTGTTAAAGAAAACAATACGGGGAAGGAGGGCGTGGTCCAGCTTATTTTAATCTGAAATTATTTATGCATATGTATTGCTACCGTCGCTCTTCACTCCATAAAAGATTGTGTAGATGGTCATTGTCGGAAACTCGTTGTCAGAAGCATACCTCGGCAACCCTCACTCATGAGGGCCCTCACTCACCCTCACTCACCCTCATCTTCACAGGTGAGGTGAGGGTGAGTGAGTTTCTGAACCAGGAAAATTTATGAGGGTGAGTGAGGGCCGTGAGGGCTGTGAGGGCCGTGAGGGCGGTGAGGGCTGTGAGGGCCGTGAGGGCCGTGAGGGCGGTGAGGGCGGTAAGGGTATGAGGGCCATGAGTGCGTGAGGGGCGTGAGGGCGGTGAGTGGCGTGAGGGGCATGAGTGGTGTGAGGGCGGTGAGTGCGTGAGGGGTGTGAGGGCCATGAGTGCATGAGTGCAGTGAGTGGCATGAGAGGCATGAGGGCCGTGAGGGCCGTGAGGGCCGTGAGGGCGGTGAGTGCATGAGGTGTGTGAGGGCCATGAGCGCGTGAGAATGGTGAGTGCGTGAGGCCCCCTTCAGATCGAGCATCTTTCTCAGCAATTTTGGTGTTAAGGGCGGGTTGTTCTCTAGCTTTCCCTAGATCGACACGAATTGCTGAGATTGGGTCCGGCTCGGAATAAGCAAGCAACTCGGAGCAATTCGAATGCGTTTGAAGCGGCTGCATCCAATCGGGGACGAAACATTTTCACGTGATACCTCGTGCCGGTGATGATGACACCGAAAGACTTGGTTCTGGTGTGAAATCAATCGTTCTTTTTTTTTGAATATAAACTGTTTCAGAAAGGTGCATTAGTATTCTTAACAAGATTTAAATGCATAAAAACACGTTTATAACGCGTAATTGTGTCTAAATAGTGTAAGAAAAATAAAATTTTATGATGATGAGGGCAAATTGCAGCAATTGGTTGCTGCATGTGATCGCGGGCGGCCCGTGTTGCTGGTGTTGCGACGTAAAGTTTCTGGGCGAAATTGCCCCATCTGAAGCTGGCCTGAGTGGCATGAGGGCCATCAGTGCATGAGGGGCGTGAAGGGTGTGAGGGCCGCGAGGGCGGTGAGTGGCGTGAGGGCAGTGAGTGGCGTGAAGGCGGTCAGTGGCGTGAGGGCGGTGAGGGCGGTGAGTGGCGTGAGGGCTATGAGTGCGTGAGGGGCGTGAGGGCGGTGAGGGCGGTGAGTGGCGTGAGGGCCACGAGTGAGTGAGGGGCGTGAGGGCCGTGAGGGCGGTGAGGGGCGTGAGGGCCGTGAGGGGCGTGAGGTTCAGTGAGGGTGAGTGAAGGGCTGAAGGTGAGTGTGACTGTGAGGATGAGGGTGAGTGAGGGGCTGAAGGTGAGTGTAGCTGTGAGGGTGAGGGTGAGTGAGGGGCTTAGATGAGTGTGGCTGTGAGGGTGAGGGTGAGTGAGGGCGACCTAAAATGCCGACCTCTGGTCAGAAGGCACTACTTGTCACATGCTTAGTGATTCGGAAGTTCAAACCTATGTCTTTTCAACCTTAATAACTGTGCCATTAAAAAAGAAAACAGAAAAAAACAACATAACACTAAAAGCGGGGATAAAAAGCTGGAGAACAAAAAAACTACCAAGAACCCACCGGAAGCGACGTATTCTTGCATATTCAGAGCCGACACAACCCGAGGTACCTTTGAAACAAGTTTTCCTACCAAAATGTGTACAGGCTAAAAGAAACACGTCCCAGAAACATAAAGCAAAAAAAAAATTTTTATGTTTTTTTTTTGGTTAATGACGTGCTGAACTTAAACAATATTAGAAACCTTCCCTCACGAGTTAATTTATTCCTCAACGGGAAAAAACAATACATTATTTTGTATTCTGCAGGTGGCAATGATATGCACTGTCTGTGGTGTTAATTTAAATGCGATACCTCAAACAATTTAGACAAAAAAAATTACCAAGTTTAGGGCATAATAGTCCGTAAATACATGTTTGAACATTTCTTCGAAACTCATCTAGGCTATACATAGATCGTTCTTAAAAAGTTTAACATTTCTACAATAAATAGTTACGGCTATAGCGCGCTTCAAATATGGCACAAACAACAATCGTCAGAAACCCGTCGTCCTTCCTCGCTCCTTCGGGAATTTATCTCTATAAAACTAAGCATGCCAGAACATTGAAATAAACGGCATTGTCTTTCACAAGGAACGCAACACCGCATGTAAAAATTTGAGAAAAAAGTTGCGAATGTATCTTACTGCTTGAATTCAAATGAAACCGTCCGCCAGTCTTTCGAAGTTCGACGGACTTCGAACTTTTACTCTAGGAGTTCAAAGTTCGTCAAACTTTTGACTTTTCAGGATTCAAAAGTTCAAAACTTTTTGAATTCTCTAGATAAATAAGTTCAAAAGTTCAAAAAGCTTCAAACCTTTTAGTGCAAGAAATTCGAAAGTTTGAAAATTATCAAATTTTTTGGTCTATCAAGTTCAGAAGTTAGACAAGCATCAAATTTTGCAGCATAATAAGTTTGAATGTTCGGAAAGGATCGAATTTTTTAGCGTAATAAGTGCGAAGGTTCAAAAGACATTGCATTTCTGAACGTGCAAAGTTGGACATTTCGAAAAGAGCCGAACTTCTTAGTGTAACAAGTTCGAAAATTTGACTTCCGTTGAATTTTTCGATATAGAAAGTTCGAAAATCCAAAATCTTTCGAACCACTTGATTCAATCATCGAAACTTCGGTTCGAAAAAAGTTTCTGGCATCCCTAAATACAACATCTGGGCAAACTTATTTCAGTGACCCAGCTTGCCAAACGATTGAAAACAACTTCACTATAAACTCATATGGATTGCACAAAACCATGCTCGTACCCTAAGTGGATGCCTTCTCAAACTTTATGAAAAAGCCTATCTTTCTTGATTGATAGCCAAGGAACTGCTCCTAGTCTCGGCATTAATGTTATAAAACAGTGCAGAAGCATACAGACCTCGTAATCAATACTCTACATACACTAGGAGCTGTTCAGAACATGGTTATGCATCAATAGATGACATACCGTATTTTCGCCATTCTAAGCACCCCCCCCCCCCCTGACTTTCAAACATAAACACCCGAAAAAAAGTTTGCATGCGAATGTAAGCATGTTCCAAATCTAAGCACCCTCCCCCACCCCCCTTCTTTGCAGGTGTGAAAAAAAGGAGATGCTTAGAATCGAGTAAATACAGTCTATATTCTGAAATAGTACTTCAACTGGAAGAAGACTATACTCAGGGAGCCCAGATGGCAAACACATGCCTATAGCAGGGGTGGAAGCGGGCTAGAGCCTTTTGTATCAGGGCTGGGAGCAGCAAAAGTCCCACTTTGGAGCAGTTTTGGAGCAGTAAAACGCTCGCTTTAGAGCAGCTCGGGAGCAGCAAAAATAAGTTTTGTAGCCGTCGAAGTAGGTTTTGCGGCAGGTCACGGAGGTCAAACAAATGTCTAAAAGTGACTTGTTGTTTCTAAATGTGAAAATGTAGCAAAACTATATGCATACACATCCCAGAATAATTTTCAAGCAACATACCTACACACCTTTCTATTTCTATTGCATTGAAATATGGAATATTGGCAATTTATGCAAAGGAAAGGCTTTGAGAACCATTCCGGCAGCAGGCAGAGTCATGATAGACTTTATATGGGAGGCCCCGACAATAAAAGCCTAGCTTGAGCCACGCCAGTACAAAACCGTCTACTTAATATACCAATTGTAAACATGTATCCAGAAAACTAAACCACTGCAAGGTGTCAGATAATCTACCTCCGCCGACTACAGTTTTTGTTTAATAAAGAATACACATGTTCAATCACTACTTAAAAAGCCCTATATCAAGTTTAGTAACAAAATACAAGGCCACTGACATTTGACAAAAATTCAGATGCAAAATAAAATGTGTATTTTATATCTTTAGACTACCACAGTCACTCGTACATATGCAGCTTTAAGCATCGACTAGAAGAGCAACGCAACCTTATGTACTCCATAAAATGCTGTGCATTGCGTGTCTCCATAAAAAAATTAAGGTACCACAACATGTCTCAGAATAAAGCAGTCCTTGCTGACCTGTTTTCATTAAATACAAATGTTCTTAATCCCTGTTCATAAAATACAGTAATCCCTACACCCAAGTTAACATACAAAGCTATATCTATATTACTTTGGATAGAAAAATATATTGTCTTAAAGATATCACGGCCACTAATACATATGCAGCATAAACACTGACTAGAAGAGCCCACAGGCTCCATGTTAAAAAAAAGGGGTTGTGACTAAGCTGAATCTGTGTAATTTAGAAACCACTGAAGTTCACCTTTTTTTTCACAGTTTGAAGAGCAGAGTCAATTTCTTTTATGCGCTCGAGTACTTTGGGCAGTTTAGAGTTCACATCTCTTAGCAGGAGGTGTCCACTCCCCACCTTGTCCACGTCCTTAACTGCCTCACCCTTGCTTATGAGTTCTTGTGCACTCAGTAGAAGTGCTTTAAGAGAAGACAGTTTGAACGAGACTGAAAATGAGATGTAGCTGATCAGGCGCTGATCCCTGCGGGGCAGGCTGCCTTCTTACGTGACAAAAAGCCCACCAACTTCTCTCTACCCTACCCAACCACCTCCCCCCCCCCCCCCCCCAAACCAGATACACCTATACCCGACACTTATACGAGTAGGGTGGCTATATAAAGTTAAGGTACGTTCTTGACAGGAATCGGCAGCGCGGGAGTGTTGTACGGCATTTCTGATGTCACCCCCACTCCTCCACGCTAAAGGAAAGAAACAAAAAAGTGTGTAGCACTGCCAATTAACCAACTCGCTTAAGATCGCGGGTATTGTTTTCGCTAGTGGTCTGACGGCGGGAGGCAACACACGACAGCGTGCACATTCGCGCAAACAATGATGGTTTTGGTTTCGTTTTGATAAGACAAATTGAGCTCGAGAACGGATGTGCCTGTGCTCGCGATTCTTCACGGCTAAGCGTCCAAATATGCTAGGCTACCAAATAACAGGTAAAGCTAGTAAAGACCACTTACTTCTGCTCATGTTAATGGCCAAGGTAGCCCACCGGTGCCGAGGCACCAACTCCCACGATCACGGCAAATCGGGACCACGGGCAACTGCATGCGCGCTCCAACCGCGCCAACCAACTATGCCCGAAACCAAACCGATGTGTTCGTATATCAAGCTCTTTGTAGTAAAAAACGACATCGCACTCTCGATGAACTAAAATCGGCGCCTCGCCCTGAGGTTAGACATGGTTTGGAGCCCCAGTCGAGTTGGTAGGAGTCACCCGCAGTGACACCTAAGCAAAAGTACACACCACATGGTGGCCCGTGGCCAACCGTTTTCCGCTAAATTTAAAGAAAACACTAAAAAAAAAAGAAAAAAGTTGAAATTGGCGTTTTGGAGCAGGCTGGCGCAGGGAAGTGAATTGGCGCAGGGAGGCGCAATTGGCGCAGCGCTTCCACCCCTGCTATAGTACCATGACATGCCCTTACTGTGCACCATATAGACCCTTTCCAAAATTGTGAAATGACGCATAGATTATGCACAGCTGCCATTTGTTTGTCTCATCGCTGCCGTCGTGAAATTCATGATTGGTTGCGAGTTCACGCCGAGCACCGACGCAGCACTCGTGTGGAATGCGTTTCGATTCAAGTACATTCCAAATGCTGACGCTCCGAATGCTGACTTAAGCAGGAAACACATGCACGACGAAACCTTCCGATCCGACGTGCGGGCTGCCGGTATGACCTTGGGGGGCGAGGGTTTTCATAGCATCGGAGAGCGTTGAAAACCCTCGCCTCCGACCGTCGTATTGCGTGGTCGGACGGTTTCGTTGTACATGTGTTCCGCGCTATAGCGACTAACTAATGGCGGCCGCAAGTAATCAATGCATCATTTCGAAATTTCAAGAAGGGTCTATCTTGAGTACATTAGAATTCCCTGCAGACTCTAGAGTAGAGTACTCATGGCCCAAGACACATAAGTTTTCACCAGTACAAACAAACTGAATGTAACAAAGAAAAGCACGCACAACACTATATCTTGATCAATGCCGGTTGCATCAAGGACAAGAGAAGTACCAATGAAGTGTTCTGTCAGGGTGTTTACGCACCTCTGCAGCCCTGACCTCCTTTGCAAGGTCTTTGAGCAGCTTGGGCACGTTGATGCCGCTGGGAATGGTGTCCAACTTGCAATCCGGCTGCGGAGGGGAAGAGCATGACTCATCCGGCTCAATCTTTGCATCCACACGTGCCGTCGTAGAGCTGCAGAGCACTCAACGACGGCACGTGTGCAGCTCCTGCACTTCCAGTTTTTGCTTGGACCAGGTGTCAAGACATTACAGTGCATGTCACTAGGCAAACCAAGAAAACAGATCCCAGGGACCCTACGCTACACTGCAGGACAAAGCGGAACCGAGGGACAGAAACAACGCTGTCTGCTGCGATTGGTCAGCGCCACACCGCTGACCAATTGCTGCAGACGACTTTATCCCGGTCTCTTGGTCCCGCTTGGTCCTGCCGTGTAGCATCGGGCCTCAGGATAATGGGCCATAACCGTCGGGCTCACCTCTTGGGTCCAGTTCTTAAGGGCAGTGAGCAAGGCCTTGGCACCGACCACCAGGAACGATGGCGGCTCAAATTCCGACGCGGTCGCACCTGCGGTACAAAAACGTTTGTCTAGACGGCGCGACACACTACAGGACGGCGCAAAAACAGTTTTCCGAGGAGGAACAGCGCGTCAATACCCCTTAGATCTGTGCAGGCAGGACAGGGGCTGAATCGGAAGTGCTGAAAAGTTGATTGCAGAAATATAACAACTTACAGGGGTGAACGTGTGATCCTGCACCTGCTTCGCACATAGCGCAAACTTTAGTTTGCACAAAATATTCCGAAAGGCAGCAGTTCGAGAAATTCCCTAGTTATCAGATGTGGGTCAAAAAATCAAATTTATTTTGGAAATTGCCTTTTTTTTTTTTCTGCTTACTTTATTATACCTGAACATTCTACTTTTATGAGTAAAAATAATCAAAACAATATTCTCACCTAAAGTTTAAAAAAAAAGAAAAAAAAAGTTTTACTGATTCACAGTGCTTGAAAAATCGCAAGTTTAACCGAACATCTGCCATCTTCGAGAGGCTGTCACTCGGGACAGCAGCACTTTCCAAGTATATCTCCGACTCGATTTACATTAGATAACACTAAAAAGCATGATTTTCGCGCTAGGAACTACTGGAGCACTACAGGGAAGATTGTGTCCTTCAAAAACAAATATAGAACACGGGACTATGACACTGCGAGTACAGTGATGCGAGACGTTGGCGCGCTGACGATACTTGTGGGCTATGTGACCTGTTTTGCTTGTCATGAGTGCAGATTCGCTACGTATTTGGGAGTCCCTGTGCGAAAGATTTTCACTGTCCCTAAAACTAGAGAAAAGCAAGTGCCCCAGGAGGGTTCTTTCTTTCAACGTTTTCATCAAAACGTGCCGTATCAGATAGAGAGATAGGAGCGCAAAGCGAAGCTACGGCAGCAAGAGCTCGCACAAGACTTGCCGCCAACTAGGAAGCCGTCACCTTCTGCGCTTCTGCGACGCGCGATTCTCAGCCTGATAGCACCGATGCACCAAGAGACTTTCATTAGCAAGAAAGTTCATGCTGCCGCCGCGAACACTGCCAAACAAAACCGTGAAGACTGAAATGCCGACATAGAAGGAACAGCTATAATGTAGTTTAGCAAGACTTGTTGTTGGGCAAGTTGGTTCATGGTACTGAGTAAACTTTTATGTGCAAACACAGACAATGGCACGCAGTACAAGAGGGGCCAGGAAAGTCGCAGCATACAGTGCGAGACAGATTTGTTGGCTCTGAATGTTTCCTAAACACCCCACTTATGTTCTGGCCATATTTTGTGTAATTGCAAACAATATTTGCAAAGAATAAATTTCTTGAACTTTCAATGCATTTTACTCATTTAGAAACTTTGGGTTGTCTTCAGTTTGTGCAAACAGTCTTTAGTACTTAGAATCTTCCAATAACAAGCAATTTTTTTATGTATTATCTTGAGCATATGTGGAGTACCATTATCTCTTTGGAATTGCATTATCTTAATTATGTTTTAGCAGATTTTAACTAACTTTTAAAGGGCTTCAAAGAAGAAGGCTTTATGACGTCTTTATTTTTTCATATTAAATGAAACATTTGTTCACAGCTTTTGGCTAGATACTGGCACTCTCCACTTCATAGGGAGTGTAATGAGCTATTGCACCATGCTTGTTACCAAACGGTAATGTGCCTGGATGTCCACACAAAAAAATACCTTTCTATGTAACTGTTTCTGCCTCTGAACACAAAACTATAGAAGCTACACTAAAACCAACAACTGTTTTAAAAAAGAAAAGACAATATTTTATAGGTAGCTAAATTTAATTATTTTAGAGGTAACATTATAAAAAAGGTGTCCCTGACCTGCATTCTCCCTCAAACTGCAAATCCTAACTTGATCAAAGCATGCAATAACCACGAATACCCCGTGGCAAATGTTACTCTTTTTGGTCCCACCACAATCATTTGTTAACCCCGAGGGCTTGAAACATGGGATCAAGATCAAATGAAAAGTAAACCTAACGAAGAACAAAAGTAGCCAATCTGCAGGGCCCCTTATTCTGCTCCTTGCCTGCAGTGTAGCAAAGCACATTTGTAGAATTGCTTTTCCAAGGCAGATACATTGAACATGGCTTGGAAGGAACGTCAAAAAGAAGTTTCAGTTTGGCAAGGAATTCCCAGGTGAAAAAAGAAAAAGCCAGACAAAGCAAATGCCCCAAAAGTTGAAAATGACCAATCACTCACTTCTGAGCTGCTCAATGACGTAAGATGCTGCAAACCAGTGAGCCGTCTCGAAGGAAGGAAACTTATATTTGTGTGGCGCATCGATCCGCTTCTCTAGGTCATAGACCCTAGAAGGAAGTGTGGCAAAAAGACACAGGGTTTAGCAAGCCATTTGAGGTGAAAGGACAATGACGGAAAGCAGGCAGGCAGGCCTTGGTCGTGAATAGGTTAAAGGGACCATGAAATTAATTTTCGGCTGGGATAAACTCGGATATTACTAATCGCATTGTTTAGTGCAATGGTTCTCAAAATGGGGGTTTGCGGGCCTTTTGGGGTCCCCGAAGGCATTCTAAGGGACCACAAATCCTCGCCTCATCAGTCAAATTCGGCAATAAAAGATGTTTTTCTCTCCGTTATTTTTTAGGTGGAGATGAAATATTCCAATTTTCGAGTGAGTTTTCTCACAATAGCCCTTAGTTATAGCCATTTATTAAATTATTATCATAATTAACCTAGACTTTTCCCTTCCCTCGCCACGAACGGGGTCCTCAATCATCTCCGCCGATCCACAAGGGGTCCGCGAAATATCAATGGTTGAGAACCACTGGTTTAGTGCACCAAAATAAAACTAGTACACGTGCGTAAAAAGCCTAAAGACTGCTTGTCGCTATGAAAATTTTAAAATATAGTTGACTATTTTGTACCTCCAAAGTTTTTTACCTTTTCACTGTGATGCATTTGCAGTGCCTAAGCACGTCATCCAAACCCAGCTCACGCATTGGACACGAGCACTGCGTAGCTCGGACTTACGCACTCGTCAACAATCAATCCGTCGAAAAATACTTGAATTCGCGTTCGTCGCCAATGAGTGCCGTGATGGCACTTATCGTCACTTAAGAATGACAAGTTCCATGTTGTGCTTTAAAACCACAGTGGAAACTTGGAGTCATCACCTCCAGTGCCCAAGCACGTCACAACCATGTGATTTCGCATTTCGCTTTTCAGCTGAGAGTTAAAGTTAAGGAGGAAGTTGAAAATTCATTTCATGATCCCTTTAAGCACATAGGGTCAAGATCAAGTCACAGCAGGCATATTGCATATGATGCTTTTTTAGCATAACTATATTGCAGTGGAGATTTGGCTACTTTGTGGGGGAAACTACTGTGTCAAGAAAACAGTCCAATGATGAAATGGATTCAATCTTTTTAACTTTTAACTATCAAGTTAATTTAATAATTGCTTCCTTAACTAACCTATAATTGATCACTTAACTAACAAAAACCATATTTACTAAGACTTACGTTGTCACAACGAAATCTTGGCAAAACCACCTCGTCCAGTGACTAAATTTTGCACAAAACGTTTTGCTCGAGGAAAAAAACTGCCTCAATGAAGGGTTAACGTCCCAATACCAGCTTTATGCCGTCTATACTCCGTTTCACCTTAGGACGGACCGAGTCATCAGAGTCACTCCAATGCCGCACGAGTGTCCCATTACCATGAAAAGAGGCGCAGCAACGCGTGTGGGGCTCGCAGTCATGCGTTACTCCCGCAGCACTAGATTTGCTGGGATGGCTCCCAGCATTCACTGCGAACCATTGTAAAGTGAAACGGAGTACACAAAAAAACATAAAAAGTGGAGGGTGACGCACTGTAGCTGCAGCCCGATGTTGAAGCTGTGCAGAAAGTTTCCCCCAAAGACCATGGAGTCTGTGGAGGTGTACACGGCGTGGATCCAGCCCGTGGGGATGAAGAGGGTCTGTCCGGCCACCAGAGAGAGCCGGTAACAGGCGTCCACCTGGTCCCCGAAGAACGTCTCGCTCTGATTGGCGGAGGCCATCCAGTGCTCGTACAGGCTCATGTTGGCTGGGCTCGGACGAATCAGGTAGAAGATCTTCTCACCCTGCGCTCCATGCCAGACAGAGGTCGCGTTGGTATACGCGGGGGCAGACTTACCAACGGGCAGTGTGGGCAACTGCCTAGGGCGGCAGAATATTGGGGGGGACGGCAAATTTTGGAGAGTAGGAAGCTAGAGCGGTGCTAGCCCTTTTCAAGCTAACCTTGCGCGCACAGCACAAAGAAATCGGAGCTCGCTCTAAAATTTGCCTGTAAAGCAGGCTGCAGGGATAAGTGGGCATGTCTGTTTCTGAAGACCCTCGGGAGGGGGGGAGGGGGCAAGGGTGCAAGGAGGGTTCCAGAAACTGTTTTAGGCGGCAAAATGAAAAGTTCATCTTTGAGCCCGCAGGCTGGCCCATGAAATAAAAAACAATGTTGGGAGAATGATTCTTCCAGGAGAAAGACAGCTTTGCATTCTGCACGTGGAGGATTCGAAACAATGAAAGCTACATGCTAGCATAGCAAACTCTTTGCAGCTCTTTTAAGCTATTGTTGGTTTGTCTGTGTGCGACCAACTGCAGCAAGATATTACATACAGCCCTGACAGACTGGCGCAGAAACAACTTGTTCTTTAACCAGACTAAAACAAAGCTAATATTTTTTTTAAGGAAAAATTCAGTATCACCTAAGGACACACTTTAAAGAACTGCATGACTGAGCAAGTCTCAGTAGTACGAGATCCGGGCGTATTTTTAGATAGTGAGTTAAAATTTTCTGAACATGTTGCATACTTAAGCAATGCTTATTAGTACCACACTTTGGGTGCGATCACCCAAATGACTTGCCATTTAAAGAGTTTTTTTATGCTTTTTATATCTGTGTAGATTTCTAATCGTGTTTAAACTAAACACACACACACATGAACTTGAAAATGTACAGAAGGAATTTGTCCACATGCTTTATAACTGTTATTTTCACAGGTGGATTTATTTCAGCCATGAGCGGTTTCTAGAGATTTTAGACCTTCACTACCTCTCTGAAAGGAGAATGACATGTGATTTGTTATTTTTACATAAGTGTCTCCATGGTTCCAGTGACCACCCTAAACTAACTTTGTCCGCATTTATCACTTTACCAAATGGGGCTCTTGACACCCATCGTGTATTCGGTTGCTCAGAGCCAAAAAGCATGCGACCCCTTGAATGGATTCAATATACAGTGCAATCCACTTACAACGATGCCACATATAACGATGTACCCCTTATAACGATCGATTTCTGAAGTTCCTGGACTAGAAATAATCCATTACTAGAGTTTCTAGACTAGAAACAACCAGTTTCTAGACCAGACACATTGATAATTGGTTATAACAATTGCAGTTCAGGGATTTCTCATTATCGTTATAAGTCGATTGCACTGCAATTTCAATGGTTCGAAAGTGGTAAACTCGTCCGAGGTAGACATTTTTATACATAAATATTTTAGTATGTTCAAACTTCTTTGAGTTAATTACTTTCTTGCTTTAAGCATTAGAAGTTGTTTTTCTTCTTTTTTTTGTCAGTATGGATGTTTGAGCTATCTTGTGTGCCTTCCTCTTTCTTCTTTTTTTTTTACAATGTCACAGATCATATTTTGTCTGATGTTTCATATTCACATCCGATAATGTTTTAGATTGCATGCTTTATATGTTTTACATTTATGTTAGAATGCATATGCCTGGTAAAAGATGCACCCTTCTGTATGCCTACAGGCTGTTTTTAGGGGCACCCCAAAACCTAAATAAATAAATACAGTAATCCCTCATTATAACGAAGTCAACGGGACAACAAAAAAATTTGATATAAGCGGAAATTCGATAAAAGCGATAAAGCCAAGAAAACAGCCCCAGCAGCTTTCAAGGTGGACAGGAACACTGAGGAACACTCCGACCATATATCTAATCAAACAAACCTTGGTTATGAACAACCACCGGCAGCTTCACCGAGTAAAAAAATAATTAAGTGGGGTTTACCGATAATTTCATACGGGCATCAGTTCTCCTCAAACTGCTCCAGGCATCGCAAGAACACTGTCACTGCCACTGCACTCCACTTTGTTTCAAAGCAGCCGTAAGATGCTTCGTGTCTCCGCAGTCGTCGGCATTTCCCGAAGTGTCTTTCGGACGTCGCTTCGGGTTTACCACGGCCACACGCAAGGTTTACGATCGCAGCATCCGTGGCATGAGCAACAACAGGAATGTCCGCATCGATAGCACGAACGAATGAGTTATCTCCGGTGGCTTTGCTGACATGTTTTCACACACTCCTGTAGAGATTGTTGCAGCTCTGGGAATTGTGCATCGGCTCGGCAAGCATGCTCTTGAGAGAAATTTCGAAGTTCCACAAAATGGTGGGCAGTGTCAAGCAGCCGATGCCAGAATGTCAAATTCTTTGGCGATTTCGGACTTGGGCCGGCCCCTTTTCTCAAGCTTACAGATCTAAGCGACTTCAGGTAAACACTCCCTATCTCCCATACCGACACACATGTGCATGTAGTACGTCGCAGGTGCGCTTGCGCAAGCATGCACATTTGGGGTTCCCAAAGGGATTATCTCCTCCAGGCTCCATCGCTCCCATGACCCGATTCCGACAGGAGTCAGGCAGCGTCGGCCGCCGCACTCTGCACACGCATGCTCTGCCCTCCGTCACCCGTGTACTCCATTTTCCCAGTTTGCCATTTGCCTTGGCAGAGAGGAGGGACGGAATGAGAGGTCCTCCATGTGCCTCCGTGTAGGCTTGCATCCTTTGGGCACCTCAGCCTTCACAATAAGCATGGTTGGCCGCCGATACACTTAGAATAATCTGGTTCAAAATGCACGCATTTCGTTCGAAAATACGTTGAACTTTGATAAAAGCAATAATTAAAAAAAAGTAGGGTTGTGCGAATATTTGAAATTTCGAATAGTAGTTCCGAATAATACACTATTCGATATTCGCTTCGAGAAGAACTTCACTATTCGCGTTTTTCGAAGTCTTGTTTGCGGTGGGTTAGCCCCGTTGAGTGCGCTTGTTACCGAGCACCGGTGCACTGCGGAGAAGCAATACTCGCGAAAGCAAGCTCCGCGGGTGTTGCTTCTCCGCATTACAAGGGTGCTTGGTAAGAAGCGCACTCAACGGAGTAACCCGCCGCGATAAACATTTTGAAAAGTATGAATATCGCAGTTGCATGCTTGGACGAAAACCATACATTCAAAGCGGGATAGTGCACGCGTGCCGTCTGTATATGAAAATAAATGGAAACTTTGTGAATGTGTATACTAAAACCCTTTATTTTCGGGGCCCCTATTTTTCGCGAATCGGTTACAGAGGACATATCGCAGCCACTAAAGTTTGCGAATTCCAGATACCTGCATTGAAATTCTTGAAGACCGAAATTTTCGCGTACCTTTAAGTTTCGCGAATTTTTCAATTTCCGATATTCGCGAAAATTTAGGGCTCGCGAACGTTAAGTGTTTTACAGTATCTACATTGTAGTAAAAGTTTTAAAATTAAACCGACTGTTTTGCAAAAGTATATGTTGGGCAGAGATGCCCTTACAACCTGCGTTCATCATGCGCGAGTCATTCTTTTTTAACTCGAAATACTTAAGATTTGTAAATTCGCTCAAATGGGTATAGTTTATCCATTTGCATTGGATTCATTTTATGTCAAACTTGCTGTTTACTTACCATCCCAAGACATCAGACATTCTGAGGTCACAGTTCATAAATATAGATAGATTAAACTAGGCTTATAAATGAACAGGTGGAACAACCTTCACAAGTTTAGCTGGGGTTTTGTCTAAGCATTATGCTATGGTAGTGAAAGGCGTGGAAAAACTATTCGATATTCGATTCGAAAATATTCGGCCAAAACCACTGTTTGCTTCGAATTCGCTTCGAGCTCAAAATCCACTATTCGCACAAGAATATAAAAAAGCGATTTCGTTATAACGAGGGATTACCATAAATATTACGCATCCCTTAATGCCAAGAAAAAGTCCACAAGAAAGCCATTATTGCATAGTGAGCAATAGTGTAGAGCCTTAAAGGGATGCTGAACCGAAATCTGGATTCTACAAAACACGGCGGCAAAAGCGTGCAACAGGATGCTACAAACACCAAAACATCACTCATACAGCGATATTTTGAACGGATGACCGTATTTTTCAAAAAAGGGAGGCGCATTTGACAGAAATGTTGACGTCATGTTTCTCCGAGAAGGAGAGGGAACGGCCTCGCGGCTTTGAGGGAGAGAAGCGAAGAGAGAAGGAAACTAGGTATCTTCACGTCACGCGCCTCGTCGGCCTAGTTCAATCTCGACCTCTTTTTCCAAAAATACAGCCGTCCATTCGAGATATCACCTTACGAGTAGTGTTGTAGTGTCCCGCCTACATCTCCTGCATTGTTTTTTCTGAAATCTAAATTCGGTTCACCATCCCTTTAACTCTTTGCATTTTCTTCCTTCATTTATAAACACCCAAAAAAATTTCACCTTTCACATGCATGCACCCAATGAAAAAGTTTGTGAGTACAACTGATAAATGACCATCACATTAAAGACAAAAATCAAGAGGTGCTGACATGAGGAGAGAACGACTCACTACTCTTGTCACGCTCGTCTCGCCTACCCCAAAAACTGCGTGACCCAGAACACAAACAAACAGAGGGTGGAGAAGGCAGGGCACGTCCACCCACCCTGAGGATGTGGTACCAGACGGAGGAGCCGCCAAAGTCTACGTGGAAGTCCGTGTAGCTGTTCTCGGTGCTCATGAGGCAGTACTTCATGACGGCGGGCCGCTGGTGGGGGCCGATGTTGGGTACGTGCGACGGCCAGCAGTTCTCCACCCAGCTGATGCGCTGCACCAGCGATGGGGGCCTTACAAAATCCGACAGCCTGGGAGGAAGCCGGCAATCAAGAAGTCTTTTTAATATAAAAAGCATTATATTGTCAAGACGCCACCCTAACATTCTTTAACTGCAGAGTTGCACAGTTGCTCAGAAATATATGTACCCAAGACCGGAGGACTGTGACGTCAGGGTCAGAAAGTTGTCAGGCGTCACTTGTGCTGTCTCACTCCCGACAACTACATCTGTTCGAAGTTTCTTTAAATAAAGACACTATTCAGAAAAAAGAAAAAAAAATTCTGCAAAAAAACATTGATTTTGAAAAATTTAATATTTACATCTGCCAACATCTAGAGAGTGTTCCCAGAAAGTTTCCTTTGTTTGCACTGTATAATTATATTTTTATATATTATTTTCCGTCCATTGATGCTAAAGAGAAGGGGGAAGTTTGAGCACTTTAAATGCATTTTTCTCCGTTCCGCTTTACATGATTTCACTTAATACATATATTGTTTCAATATGAAACTATTGAGACTTGATTTTTTTAGGCTTATATACTGAAATTTTATGGAGCCGGTTAGTATAAAATTAGGATTTGCATTTGCATGTTCCTGTATTATGAAAAATTGTAATTTGCAATACTTAATAAATGCAGTGATGTGATTGGCCTAAGCCGTTTTGGAGCACCTTTTGGAGCAGCCAAAACAGTGTTTCGGAGCAGCAAAAAGTGGTTTTTGGTGCAGATTTTTTTATAAAAAAAAAAAAAAAATATTTGTTTTAAGTGCTGGACAAAGGAAGGCACTTTGCTCGCCACAATAATCAAATTATGGTCAAGTTAGACGACCTGGGAGTCTTTCAAGTTGTTAACTGAAATGGCAATGACACAACATTTTTTTGCAATGCTTCAGTTAAATGACATATATATATGTACCCGCTATAGATAAATAAGAACCAAATTGCACACACTAAATTTATTTGAAAATGACCAGCTTAGCAGTAAATATGAAAGCATACACTTCACTGGTTATATAATATAATAAATTGAAGCAGTATCCAACTGATGAAACACGTAACTACTGCAATGCAATACGAAACTGTACACATGAAAAAGGTGCAGTGCGACTGGTGGGTGCTTTTCCTTTTGCTAGTTGAAACTTTCTGCAAGGCTGCTGCACGCCTCGCAATTAGCTTTCGGCAAGTAATGAATGTCCACTTTCAATGTCTCCAAAGAGACGTTGAGACATCCCACAAGTGTACAGTGCTGTAGGCGTTGCCGAGCAATTCCAAAACGTCTCCCACCGTTTTACTGGTTCCCGACATGCCAGATTTTCGTCAGAAGCAAGCAAACGTGAAACAGTGGATTGCAAGCGTCCCGGCTGGTACCTCTATCGTGCAATCATGTTCGCATGCACGTGAGGGCAACTTCGGCAGCTTGCAGTTGCACGCGCTTCGTTATGCGAGCGGAGGCGGCTGTTCGATCGAAACCGAAACTCTGCCACTCCGCTCCATCGCCATCTGGTCCCCAAAATTGTATGCAAAATGTAACAATCCAGAACAAAAAAAGAAAAACAGTCTAGCGGCGCGTGCTTGCCAGGCCAGTATGCGAGGCACAAGCTAAGTTAAAAGGTTAAAAAGCGCAAACAAAACAAGGACCATAAAGCTAATAAAAAAAAAGAAAAAAGAACCTGAGCACATCAATGCAAGACATCGCGAGTCAGGGTCAAAAAGTTCTTGGAGCGCTTTGTGCAACAACTGGACTCAAGACAAACAAGCGGGCTGTGCGGGTTCAGCGTGCAGGCATTGCCTTTTGTTGCTTTAGCTAACTTGTCTTAAACTTTCTTTTGCGACAGACTTTTCACGTACCGGTGTCCCTCTCAAAAGAAATCCGACCGAGAGAAACCTAGGTAAACAGTACTTCGACACAACAGTCTTTGAGCTAGAGGGATGTTTGTAATACCGTTTAATTTAAACAAGGACAAGATTGCTGATTACCCTGCAGCGGTCCTTACGTTTCATTTTAAAAGGCGCCATATCTGCAGCAATGTGTGGACGGGAACACCCGACGTCATAACCACGGCAACTGGTAGGCAGGGACCAAAGATAGTTTTGCCACGGCCGTTTCTTTCAGAAGCGAGTGCTTCAGATCACAAGTAACTCCCAATGCGCAAAAACGTGGTTTCGTTTTACAACATGACGGCATGGCTGGTACGCTTGCATCTATCGTTAAAATATTTTCAAGAGGATGCGAGACAAGACCCACGAGAGTGCGAAATGAGGAACGGCGGGAAAAACCATGCTAGACCGGATGGACGATTGATACAGCCTACTTCCTGTCGGGCGGTCGCTTGCGCCACCTAGCTCACGCATGCTCAATTAGTACTCAGTTTAGTTTCGGTTTTGAAAGGCGACCGAAATTGGTCCTTTGGCGCAGGCTTGGCGCAGATTACCCATATTTCGGCGAAATGTAGCAGGATGTAGCAGGGTTAGCCCCTTGGCGCAGTTTGGCGCAATTGGAGCAGCAATCACATCACTGTAAATGTGAAAAATCTGTTTTCTTTGCAGAAACTTTTTTTACCTGTAAAATGCATATATTATTAAGTTTTTCTTTTCATAGCAACCTGCAACAGGTATTTCAGTGTGCATTCCACCAGAAAAATATCTGGTTTCAATATTATTTTTCGGCAACAGATTCATCGAGCAGATTTCATGCCAAGCTATGCTTTACTTCGTTCTAGGAGTATAGCACCTTATTAAACTGGATAACAGGGCTCAATCTTTGTATGCCTTCCTTCTATATGGCTACAAACACCACCTGCAAATTTGATGCCAATTAAGTGAGCGGTTCAAAAGTTGACATACCCAGGTAGTGTTCCCCCTTAAAAGAGCTGTGCAACAATTTCAGTGCTTTGCTTAAATAATTTGGGAGTTGGTGTCTCAACCTTTCTGAAGTAGTAGAGAGCAAAAAACCGCTTTTGCCTGCATGTCCTAGTTTTTATATATTTTAAAAAGGACGAAGATGGAGGTTTTCGGCACCTCTCAACTCCTTCACCATCCTCCGAGTCACGTGCGCTGTGACGTCAATGGGGGTCGTGCGGGGTTTTGGTGAAGCTCTCTCTCTAGAGTCATCAGTGAGCAGCGAGAACTCATCCGCTCGCGACCGCGTAACCACGTGCTGGCGCAGCGCGAACAATATGGTGAAAGGAGGAAAGTCTCATCCAGGTCTGGCCATCCGCGCCCGGCGCTGCCTCCGTCCCCCTCCGGCTTCTGGCGGCTGTTCGCAGTAGCAGATAGAACCGACGGTTTTGTGGACCTAGGACCTAGATGGCGCCACTAAATCTCCGTATAATAAAAATTTTGTCTATGATACCAGGTTTTTAATGCATTTATATTTATGTTGGAACGACAAGATTTATAGAAAAGTTACCTTTTATTGAGCAGGCATTCACACAACTTGCTATCTTTCTGCAGGCCAAGTTTTCCCGCAAAATTTACTAAGGAAATTGATGTCAGGTCACGCCATCTCAACACCAATTCAGTCTCCCCACTAAATTTGGCAAGGAAAACGACGTCACATGACTTTGTGTCCCATCACCCATAAACAAATTCAATTTCTCCACCAGATTTAGCGGGAAAATTGACATCACGTGACCTCAACACCAACTCAATTTCCCGGTAAATTTAGCACGGCGGTTATGCCGACGGCGAGGCCGCTCAAGCTGGGAACGGGCGCCTAAGAGCTGCGCTCTAAAAAGTGATAACCCCAAAATGATTCGAACGAAAACTTCGCAAAGTCAATAAGAAGGACGAACGTGCACGCATGGCCTTTCGACTATCAGCACATCCATTTTTGGACCATTTATTTTTGCAGGTTAGCCATAAAATATTGTATATCCCATGACCGGAGGTGGCGAGTTTTCTAACAATTTTCCTCTGCCACAAGCCTCCTCAGCATGACCTTAATGAGCAGGTCCTCAAGTATGCAAAGCAGATTCGTTTTGCTGTTATTTCCAGCCTTCTCGTCCTTTTTCTGTGAGCAGATAAGCACTTTTATGGTCGAAGCGAGAATGTATTGGCGGCTCATTATCTGACGACCGTTTTGGAACGCGGCTTGGCCGATCGAAGTTGTACAGGCTCTTCTCCGTAGTATGACTTACAGTAGCACAAACAATCTTGGATTTGCAAACCTTTTTACTTCATTGTTGGGACCTTATGGGTTGTGTTGCTGTGGAAATCCAGGTATGTAGCACAAATGTCTTGTCAGTGACCCTTTAGAGAGGGAGCCAGGAGCAAAATAAAGCCATAGCAAAACCCACAGCAAGCAGCATCTCAACCGTTTTCTCTGAACTCCGCAACCCCGACCCTGCATTGTAAGAACCTCACCATTTCCAAACACTCATAAAACTTTATTTATGTCCATGCAGCATCAAAATCAGGAAACAAAATAGGAAACATCTTTCTTCTCAAGAGTCAATGTAGGGTCAACAGAAATCTGCCAATTGCAATGAAACAGTTTGCCAGAAGCAGGCTCACCGCGTGTCGGAAAACTCGAGGCTGATGACGTTGAAGACCTTGGTCCGATCGTAGCTGTTGAAGTACTCCACCCACTCGGACATGGTCATCTTGAGGTCTTCCTGCTTCCTCACGTCGATCACGTCCAGCATGAAATCCGGTCCTGCGTCGGTGCAAGCATGCAAACCTCGCAGCATCGACAAAGAGACAGTGAGCATGAATTTCATTAGGTGTTGGCGGCCTGCTCCCAGAGCTCCACGAGTCTGTGACTAATTTTACGATGTCAGAAACCAAAAACATGGAAACTGTAGTGGCGACACACCCGAAATGCAAAGACGATGAAAAGGTAAGCTCGGGCAGAAATTCTTTTCAAAACGCAGGATGAAAAAGCTTGCAAAATCTGAGACCACTTTTGTATCATCTCACCAATGTAGTCCATGACATCACTGACGGTGAGGTCTTCAGGGGGCATCACCAGCCCAAGGCCATCTTTTCTGGTCACCAAAACGGGATTGGTGAAGCCACTGTGCAACAGGTACTGGAGATTGAACTGGTCACCGTTGAGTCGAGTCACTATGCTCTCCGCACTGGCAGAACAGAAGAAAAAAAAGTACAAGGAACAGAAATGAAGGAAATTATGTCAGTTTTGCTGCAAACATTTGCTGCTCATTGAGAATTAAAATCTCATGAACAATAGTAAGCATTAGAGGAGAAAAAAACAATCAATTGCTCATTACCTCTCAAAGTGCCTCGACTTCAGTTCCTTCATGAAAACGTGAGTACCTGTTTGCACCGCCTGCACAGGAAAACAAAGATTAGAAATTTTGTTGAGCTCACGAGCTATCAGATTGCATGATTTAATAATGCAAATATGTGAACTGGTTATGGTTGAAAAAAAAGCCGAGACTGCGGGTAAACGACACAACACTAAAAGTCTAAGTTGTGTCGTTTACCCGCAGTCTCGGGGTTTTTTCAACCATGTGCAATGTACACCAGCTCGTTTGCGCCCTTACTTTTTGAACTGGTTACTTTAGAAAACCCTTTGCCCAGGCACTTCTTACAGCTGGTAGAAGTGTCCTGGCAAACCCCGAACCTTCAAGCAACGGTGCTTGCGATGTTGAGAAGACAGCGTCGTCCCCCTTGTATATATCATCTCATAATCATTATCACTAGACATGGCACCGCGGGCCTCCATGGTACGGGCTCTCGCCTTTCCGTGGTGCCACGGCTCTCCTGGGCCAATAAAGATTACGATTACGGTTATATATCATGGTAAGCAGCTACCACCTAAGAACCTCTCACACACCTACATTACATCCCTTAGGCCGCTAAAGCGCACAGTCTATTTTATATGATTACTGCAGGTTTGAACAGCAACTTTGGGCAGACTTCAAGAAAAACTGTTTCACAGCACCTTATACATTCAGGGTGATGAACTAAGTGGCGTGACACTAGGAAGCAAAAAGATCAGAAAAGTAATCTCGCGAATTTCAGAGACCAAACCAAGAAACTGGGAGGTTCAATTTTGCATGAAATTTTAAGAGACATTTTGTTTGCGTTTTGTGGTTGTTTCTACCTTGTTGCTGGCATGTGGGTCAGAATAATCGTGGCGGTGCCAGTTTGTCCTCTGCTTCCCTGCCGCGACAAGACATGAAGAAGAAAAAAAGAAAGAAAACCACGTGTTAAGGTCACTTTTCGTCGCACCAACAAATAAAGAGTGGTCAAAACAAAATACACGGAAACTTACAAACAGATGGTCCGAAAGAAAGCTGGCATTGGGGGCAGTGGTACTTGATGATGTCGCCCGCATCGTGCTCTTTAACGTCCACGCAACTGAAACAAAAAGACAGGCAAGCAGCGTGTAAGCTGACAGCTGCAGCGGTGTCAACCTCTCCACTGGATGGAGTTCATCCGGATGACAGCGGCGTCTCAGCGACCAATCGCATAATCCGAAGATAATCCGAGACGCGACACATTCCAGAGCTATTTCACACCGGCATTCACATTCCACCCCAAAGTCGCCCGCACCATGCCTCTAACGTTTAACTCGTCCGCTATCTTCATAAACGGTCGACGCGTCTTTCGTACGAGCTCGCGAGGAGTCACTGAAAACGACGATTACAAGAAAGAAAAAAAAAAAAAAGAAAAAAGAGGAGGGAAAAACAGCGCGTGGATAAACTTGGTGGGGGCCAGCTGACGATGCGAGTGGCCGAGAGACGCGACGAGCAAGAAAGTTGGTACCGCAAGCTGGAAACACCTGCGACAGTCCTTCCGCTTCTCCGAGCGCTCAAAGTGAACACGCGAAGCGATGGGAAGGCGCGGTCGGAATGACAACAGACCGCATGCGGTCCCGCGGACGACGGGGTAGTTACGACGCTGTGAGCGCTTGCTGCCGGGATGCCTCCCAAGTTGCGAACGACAGGCATCGCTGCGTTGACGGCGACGCTTGGCCCGTCCGCGTATGCTCCGAAGGGTCCCTACCTTCCGTGAAACCAATCTTTGCAGACATCGCACTGTATCATAAACTGGTTTGGGTCGTAGGGCTGGCCGCACACACAATACACATCAACGGACGCCATCTTAGCTCCGGACGGCAGCCCGAATAATAACACACAGGGTTGAGGGCCTTCTCGTGTTGTCGAAGTGTTTGGCTGTGTTAGGGAAGTATGGCGTTTTGCAAAACTTTAGCTGTTGTGTGAGTGTGAAAGACATCTTGATCCTAAAGTTTTGAGAAGGGGTCATTTTATGTTTGTTTGATTCGTTGATTACGCGCGCCGCGGATGATATCCGTTGCACGGCGAAAGAGCTTGTCGTTTAGTTCGTCTTTCTGGCGCTAGAGTCCGCGTCCTACTCCGGTGCCTAGAAATCGAAACTGAATTTAATTTGCATCCCACCATTTTGTTTTTGCATGATGTATCGAACACATTTGTAACAATCACGTTAGTTAAATAAAAGTGTATCATGCGTTTATTTACCAAAGGCAAAAGCTAACTTTAAAAGTGGCTTCACTAACATATTTTCTGCGTTCTTGTTTATTCGATGGCAAACAGAGGTTTTACAGCGATGCCGTTCACGGCTAGGGTTCCGTGTATTTTTCGTGTGCGTGACCAAAAATCTACTCTCGCACCGCACCCGCGTGCCGCGGGTGTACGAACAAATGGTCCCGGAACTAATGGTCCCGGAACTAATGGTCCCGGAATAAATGGTCCCGGAACAAATGGTCCCGGAACTAATGGTCCCAAGTCCAAGGTAGGAAAAAATGGTCCCGTAAGAATATCGTTTAGAAACTAAGATGCACCATGCAATATACCTCATCCGTTATGCAATCAGTGAATTCCTGGTGGAATGAAGGATCTCGTCTATATTTTGAGTCCGGTTACTTCGAAGAAAGTGGTCGGGTATTGAACTTAATTTTCTTTAAAATCGTGAGAATATTTTCAAAATGAATACTGTCCAACAGTTATCTCCTAACTGTTAATTTAGTGGACTTATACGATATTATAGGAGTTATTACTATTTTCATATAAGGGGCTTTAGGATATTTATAGCATCAGTAGGCTCTTTTGAAACAAAAAAATAAGTACCCTTAGTCATTCTGTTGAAGCCTTGAAACTCGAATTACTTCCATCTCGCCATGACGCGTGATGGTAGCACACAGAGTGAGCGGAGCTCGATTCCTTTATAGGTGAATTAGGTTTCCATGCACATTTGATGCTCCTCCATGTTTCTTTAACCAGATCAGCAATTGCACTAGCTAGGTTAAAATATATTTTACGACAAGATGTTCAGAAATTATACAATTTACTGATAACACATATATGGACGTGCCTTATAACGTCTTATTCCTGGTGTTCAAAACCGAACAGTGCGAATGACACCTCGAAGAAATTCCTCCATCGTCTTTGCTCCCCTGTCCTACTGGGCGGAGAGTCTGCAGTCGGCGCTGCATCTGGACCAGAAGCTGTTTTTGCTTCCTTCTCCGTGAAAACTCCTGAGCAGATTTTACGGACACAGATAAAGCTTCCGCCCGTAGGGCGCCGATCGCCTCCCATACAGTTGGATGGCTATGCCCGACTATGCTGCTGAATCCCCGGTTACATGCCTCGCAGTTGTTTTTGAGTATCTTTTCTTTTATGTAGCAGTGTTTTTCAGCAGTATATTTATATAAGCGAGCCCCATTCGATTATTGTCGTAGAGAAGCTACCTAACTTTTCTTTTTTATATGGCCTGAAAATATATTATTTTCTGACGCTTGTAGCACAAAAAGTAAAAAAATAAATAAAAAAAAATAAACGCAAAACATTTCTGAGCTTTCCAGAAAAATATAAAAACCGGATGAGTTCGTGCAACCGGCAGCATCGAAATTCGGAGCTTTTCGTATAAATTGGAAACCGTAAAATGTTTTACCGGCAAGTGTTATTGGATTTTATCGGATTTATTCGAAAACGCGAAACCGATATTGGCAATATCTATCTGGGACCATTTTTTCCTAGTTTGTACTTGGGACCATTAGTTCCGGGACCATTTGTTCCGGGACCATTTATTCCAGGACCATTTATTCCGGGACCATTTGTTCCGTTTCCCGCGTGCCGCACGTGCCGGCGTCTGCAGTAGCAACTGTTCTAAAGCAAAAGCCTAAAACAGATGGCATCTGTTCGCCAACGCGTTATTTTGGTTATTTGCTTTGAATCTTTTATACGGGGCAGGCGTGCGCGTGCGGCGCGTGGAACACCATTTTCAGAGTTTTCCTTGAAGCTTGGATTGCCGTCCTCCATTTTCATTTTCACGTCTCTCGTCGTAATGGCGTGGCCGCGAATAGTCCGGACCATATACGGCTCTGGTCCGGACCACCGAAGAGCAACGGCGGGAACGGCAACGAGAATGTGAGCGACGGCGGGGGGCAGGCACGTGTGTTTGCGTACATTTCGTCACGATGACCACCCATCAAGACAATAAATGTGTTCGTGCCTTTGTTCAAAATTCCGTCTGTGTCGTGTGCTAAAGCTTCGCTGGACATCCACCTTCACAGAGTGAAATGGCTCCTGATTTTTCTTATGTTTTTCGCATTGCATATATACTAATAATAATAATAATAATAATAATAATAATTTGCAATGCAAAAATGTGATCCTGGGTGGCGTGCAGCCATGCAATGAACTATGCAGTGTTTGCCCTGACAGGTCGCGTCATCTGGTCCGCAACGATGGGAAGTCCAGGGGTGCTATGTTGCGCTTTTTGCACTCCCAGGAGACTTGGAAGAGGGAAGTGACGTCAACGACACAGTAAATGCAGATTGGATGTTGACAGAAGAAAAAGAAATCAACACCCAATCTGCGTTTGCTGTGTCGTTGACGTCACTTCCCCCTCCCTAGTCTCCTGGGAGTGCAAAAAGCGCAACATAGCCCCCCTGTTCGTCATTTGCGCCGTCGAAGATGCTGTACTTTCGTTGGCATAAAACACAAATGTACAAACGCCTTTTTTTTTTTTTTTTACACTCTGCGATTAAAATTGTGTGTAATCCTAATGTGTAAAACAGCGAAGGCATTAAACGCGAGGTCTTTCCGTACATGGGGGAAAGGGGGGGGGGGAGGGGGGCAGGTGGTAGCAATAATATTTGGAGATAATATGCTGCATTTTTTTACCTATTTTATTTACTTCCCGAGTTCTAGCGATCACCTAGCTGATACCATATTTCGGTAATTGATTTGTTCTGTTGTAGCGCTAAGTCAAAACCGTCAAAACTTCATTTGTGACTGTGCTTTCTTTAATGAGAGAAGTGAAGTCCCAGCCGCACGCCACAACGTTCTGGCGTGCGGCCGGCGGAAGAGATTAGTAAGGTGGTGGGTACACTTTTGCCTTTATTTTATTCGACACCACACTTGATATTGTTATTTGGCGAAGAATTCCAGGGTGTTATTCGCAGATTTGCCGAGTTACTATTTGTTGTTTGAGCAATGCTGACTATTAATTGTTAAACAATCCGAAGTGCTTTACTTAGTCTAATTTGAAGTCAAGACATTGTGACATTATAGTATGCATATTAATCTAAGTGGTGCGTAAAATACGTAGTTCAAGTACAGCTATACATCTAAACAACAGTTCTGTAAAAACAACAACAAAAACAACATATGTGTACATTGCCAACTTATGGTCTGCGGGGCATGTCAGAAGCGCGCCCCGAGGCCAGCGTGTTTCCCCCTCTCCCACACCCTCTTCCCCAAAAGCACGTGTTTTGCCCCCTCTGAAACAGCCGGCCGCCACTGGGCAGGGCAAACACTGGCCGCCGGCGCCCGAGGGGTACCAAGTTAGGTACCAAGGACACCGCCCCCGCCCGGGGGGGGGGGGGGGGGGGGTTCGTTTGCCCCCCCCTCAAAGACAAGTTGGTACACCACTGGCTGTGCGTGTCCTTTTCTGCTTTTGGCAAAAGGGTGGCGAGCTTTTGCCTCATCAACCGGCTTTGCAATGATCATTACATCAGGGAGCTTTCCACCCGTGAGCTTTTCTCCTGCGTTTTAAACATGCGTTTCAAAATTTGTTGGCTTCCATTAGATCTGTAGATTTTGCGATTTGAAAAATTCGCCAAATTTAGGAACACGCGAACCTTTTGAACAAAAAGGTTGACTTACAAGGAACTGTTCGGCAAAGGTGGAGCAGTACAATATGGTCGCAAACAGAATGGTCCGGGACAAAACGAAATGTCTGGAACCCACTATAATAAGCTACAGGTCAAGAAAGTAGATGCCAATGCCCCTCAAAGGGATTCATATATCCCTCCGCCACCTCCGCATCTAATAACGTCCCATCGTTTCCGTGACATCGTTGCCAACGCGGGAGAGTGTTTGGCCTTCCTGTGAATATTTTCTTTATCTTTCGACTTTGACTTAGCGTTGTGGAAGCCACGAGAGGGAGATTAGAATTTTGCTCCTCCGATGGAAACAAATACGACTTTGGGGGGTTAGGTTCCCCCTCCGATGGATACAAAGGCCACTTTCAAGCGCTCGGTTCCCTCTCCGATGAATACAACGGTCGCTTTAGTGGGGGTCGGAGACAAGTTGGCATCACTCTGTATGCATTATCTATTCATTGAATTGGAGCAAGTGGCGTTTCCAGGGAACTCTTCTTTCGACTGCGGATGGATTTGAAACGGGCGCGTCACGCTTATGGGAGGAGCTTCTCCTACCTCCTTGACTTGTAAATGAATTCGTATGCATCACAAGCTGAAGGCACGAACGATGAAAAACCTGTGCTCCTATCTTAGATTATTAGAATTGCATTTGTTTTGCTATAAGTACTCCTCGCCAGTTCTGTGTGTCTGCTTCTTCATGATTAGTCAAGCTACTCGCTTTCAGTGTTTGAAATTTGGTAAATAAATTAGTATGTCCCATGTCATGAAATTAATATGTATTTTGCGTAGTACTACTCACCCGCGAAGATCAACCATGCAATGGCGAAGAAACTCGACTTGAACAATTTTGTCCTGGTTAGCAGTTGGGACCATTCTGTCCGAGACTATTTTGTTCGGATCCCATCCTCAAAACTAGATATTTCTTTTAATTATTAATTTATTGGCTTAAAAAAAACACACAAAAAAAAACAGTGCGAATAAATCTGGCGCTTAAAGGGGCCCTGCAATTTTATCTAAGTGGCTACCCTTTTTTGCGGTTTCCACATCTCGTGTGGTTCGGGAAAC